CATAAAATCAAAAAATAGAACTAAAGTCATTAGAACGTGGAATGATTCCCAACATCGCAGTCGCATTACCCCGTTGAACGTCCACAGAAAGACGTTGTCACAGAAATTCAGGGGTTCGTTTTTCCACAGTTGCACGCACTGTCTGGTCAATTCCCTAGGAATTCCCATCGACTCACTTGCTGCAGTATCTTTATTTAAATGCAACAAGCTTACGTCAACAGTAGAAATAGGATCAGGTTGAGAAATCGCTGGACGCTGAACCTACTCGTTTAGTAGTTGATATGTGCTTTTTGGTTTAATGTTGCTTAACGCCACGCTCAGTTAGTGACCTATGGTATAGAGGAAACTGTATGGCCACAAATGGAGGACGAAATCCAAACCTTGTAACTGACATAAATGGTCTGACTGATGTTATGTTGTAATCGATCACTATTGAATTAGGGAATTTATTTGGGATTTCATTGGGGGTTTTTAATTTAATAATTTTGATATATGCAGATATTTTGTATTCGAGGGGTAAATTTAAGAACGTTTAATAAAGTTACACCTATTTTTATTGTGGAGAAATATATCAGTTACAATATATTGGTTAATTTAGGGGTTATTTCCTTGGTATCTATCCCAGTTTTATACAGGGAAAGTTGAGCATTAAAAGAAACTGGGTGCCGCTCAACTTTATACGAGGAGTAGCTTCTCATGCTTTTTAAGGCAAGTGTTTTGTTGTTTTTCCGATCCAATTTGTAAATAAATGAAAAAGTTTCTCTTAATCTCGACCATAGTCAAAGAGAAACTCGAAGAGAAATAACAAAACATTTAGGCAATTTTCCGTATAAACCAGAAATTTTGGATTTAAAGTTAGAATTTAGATTCGAAATTTAAAAAAATAATGTGTATGTGACCCATCTACACCGGGGTCAAGTTGGTCCCCCATTTTTGGAATTTTCCGAATATTTTTGTTGCAATCGCTTGTTAGTGTTTGTTAGTTACATTTTGGCGTTTGTTGGTCAGAATAAATTTAAGTGTTGGGCGTGAAGTTAGCCCCCGACATTCACGTTTGTTCTTTGGTCGTTCTTTAATTATACAAAAATCCAAAAATTTGGTGCCCATGCCGATGTAACGTCAACGTTTTAACTTTCAAACCACATCCAACCTTTTCATTTGAAATTTAAAAAATCTAAAAACACAAAATTCCGTTGTAGCATTAAATTTTTTATTCAATGGTTGTAGATAGATTTACGAATTTTTAAATTTATCAGAACGTAGTGCCCTAATTTGATAGTTAATACTTCTGTACTATGCTATTAAAGATCGAGTTTGCAATTAAATTTCTCGACGAAGTGTCCTTTGTACAGTTTTCGACGATGTGGCCATTGTCGGCTTACGTAGTGTCCGTCGGCGAAGTGGGCATGGCCGGCGTGCGTTGTAGTCACTTTCGCATTAGTGTCCCTTGTATACTTGTCTGTGATGTGGGCAACATTCGGCGTAGCGTCCGTCGGCGTAGTGTCTCTAGTCGGCGATATGAACTATCAAAAAATCGCGTCGAGGTTGCGGGGATTCGGCGAAGTGTCCTAGACCCTTAAATTAATGCGTGCGACATCAGATATAACCAAAAAAGCAGAAAATGAAGTATTTTTGTCTGTATCCACTTTATCTGTACAATATAGAGTATAGCCGTAGTGGTAGAGTGTTGGCCTACATAGCCGGGGGTCGGGTGTTCGAACCTGGGCTGAGGTAAGAATTTTTCATCTGTGATGGAGACAGAGCTGGGTACTGCTCGCGAGCGTTCCGCTCGAAAAAGCGCTCCAAGCGGAAAAAAGCGCTTACTTCAAGTGCTTGGCGCTCGAGCGCTTTTCTCTGTCCACGAGCATTTTTTCCGCTCGTAAGCCCTTTTTTCACTTGCAAGCTCTTTTTCAGCTCCTGAGCGTTTTTTTTTCGCTCGTGAGCGCTTTTAACCGCCCTCAAGCACGGAAGGGTTCAACGCCTCTCCCGAGCGGTTTTTTTCCGCTCTCGAGCGCTTTTTCCCGGTCCCGAGCGCTTTTTCCGCTTTTAAGCGTTTTTTTCCGCTCACAAGCACTTTTCCTGAGTGCTCGTGATAAACCGCTCGAGCACTTTTAGGAGTGCTCGGAACTCACAAGCGGTTTCGCTTTGCAAAACAACTCGACTCGACGCTCGCGAGCATTTTTAAGAGAATTAAAGCGCTCGTCGCTCAAGCGGTTTTTTAGAACGCTCGACCCAGTTCTGGATGGAGATGGGGAGGGAGGGGGGAGTCCTTAGATCAGTTTCACGCATTCTGTCGGCTACTCCGAATTAGGTTTTCCCGCAGTTTTCCTAATTCGTAGGGTACATGTCAAGTAGTAGATATATAGAACAACTTAAGACCTTCTGCGGGGACAGCTCTAAAAAGCATTATGCGGGTCACTTTGTAATTGGGCGCAAGCCTGTTGAGGGCCCAGAACAAGAGGGATAGGAAATAAATAAATAGCAAGAACTTTGGGATTTATGTTAGATGATTTACATAAAGAATTATGGATAGGTACAATAATGCACACCAAACGACCTAAAACTAAGAAATGCGAGTGAAGGTAAAAACATGTAGGTACCATATTGAACCGTAAGTCATTATTTTATATATTTGAATTTTGAATAATTAATTAACGATCAACCAACAAACGTAAAAAGGAAACTAACAAACACCAACAAACGACCATCAAACGATTGCAATAAACATATTTTGAAAATTCAAAACGTGGGGAGCTAACTATACGCCCAAATTTTTCAATTTTGAATAATTAAATAACAATCAACCAACCAACGTCAAAATGTCACTAACAAACACCAACAAACCATCAACAAACGATTGCAATAAAAATATTCTGAAAATTCAAAAAGTGGGAGGCTAACTACACGCGCAAATTTTGAAATTTGAATAATTAAATAGCGATCAACCAACCAACGTGAAAATGTACCTAACTAACAAACACCAACAAACGATAGCAATAAAAATATTCTGAAAATTCAAAAAATGGGGGCTAACTATACACCCAAATTATTGAATTTTAAATAATTAAATATCGATCAACCAGCAAACGTGAAAATGTTACTAACAAACACCAACGGGTCTAGGACACTTCGCAGAATGCCCACAACGCCGACACGATTTTTTGAAGGTCCATATCGCCGACTAGGGACACTACGCCGACGGACACTACGCCGATCGTTCCCACATTGCCGAAACGTGTGCAAGGGACACTAAGCCGAACGTGACCACAACGCCGACTGTTCGAAAATCCAGGCCCCTCATACTCTGTCCAGTGTATGAGTTTGCATTTTAAAAAGTTTAAAAAACATGTCCTAAACCTACAAATAACCTAATATCCAAAGCTGCTTTGCTTCACACTCCGTCCAGTTTGATTAAGAATTTTCGTATGAGTCTGTAGTTCGAAAAAAGTTAAAAAAAATATTCTGAACCTACAATAACCTAACGTCAAAAGCTACTTGGTGTTGCACACCGTCCAGCTTGATTAAGAAGTGTTGTATGAGTCGACGTTATGGTCACGTTCGGCTTAGTGTCCCTTGTTCACTTGTCGGCGATGTGGGCACGGTCGGCGTAGTGTCCGTCGGCGAAGTGGGCATGGTCGGCGTTGTGTCCCTTGCACACTTGTCGACGATGTGGGCACGGTCGGCGTAGTGTCCGTCGGCGTAGTGTAGTCGGCGATATGGACCTTCAAAAAATCGTGTCGGCGTTGTGGCCATTCGGCGAAATGCCCCGGCCTCACACCAACAAACGATTGCAATAAAAATATTCTGAAAATTCCAAAAATGTGGAGTTAACTATACCCCCAAATTTTTGAATTTTAAATTGTTAAATATCGATCAACCAGCAAACGTGGCTAAGAAACACCAACAAACGACCAACAAACGATTGCAATAAAAATATTTTGAAAATTCAAAGGGGGGGGGGGCTAATTTGACACCGCTCCCTTCTACGCCTTACTTAATCAAATCGAGACTAAGATTATGCATATTGTAGGAAAAAGTGTAAATTACCGACTTTTTTACAAAAATGCTTATATGGAAAACATGACGCAGCTTTGATTTTCTACTTTCTGTCATAGGCAATTACATATTAATATGTTGTAATTATTGGCGTCACCAAATTGCATCGTTGGGTATATTATATACTGCAGAGTGCAAGTGGTTCAATTCTGAAAATTACTTTCATAAATGTGAAATGTGCTAATTGAAAGCTTAATGTCGAATTTAAAAAAATATAGTAATGTAACCCTAAAGCTACCCCTCGACGACTTACTAATGCTGAAAACGTGATACTGCTCTGATTTTCTATTTCCGGTCATGCCTAACTAGGTAATATTGCCTACGTTATATTATAATTAGCGCCAAATTGCATTCTTTTGTAGGTATATACTGCAGGTGAATAACTTTTCTTTCTGAATATCTGACCTTTCTTTACTTTCATAAATAGACGAACACATTTATTCCTACTGAAATGTGCTAATTGAACGAAAGCTTCTTGTGGCGGTGACGCCTCTATAATTATAATGCAAATGCTAGAAGCTGGTATTTCTGGAATGCGCATTTCATGAGTAAAAATCGCACATTTTGATTAGTGCACGCTTAATTTCAATAAATGGTAACAGTAGGTAATAAAGAAAGGGGTATCGAACTACTTTACTTTTACTGCAGGGGGTTTTATCGCCAGATCCTTTTAATAGACAGAGGGGCTCAGATAAAAGGCAAACGCTCACATATACCCTAATTTTATCCCGCTTGCATTGTGCATTAAATGCAGACTTACGGTCGGCGTTTCCGAGGGAGTATCTGACGGAATACGACTGGGAAAATATGAGGCTCGTTTCCTGTCTATATTCCCGTATGCTTTCGCTAACGCTCCCCTCTTTCACCCTGGTCCACGAATTTTCAAATCGGGGATAGGGATTCTGATGGCTAACCTTGGATATATGCAGCGCCGTGGCGTCTGTACCAACAGTCAGTAGTCGCATTGCAGACATTCGCGAGTGAAGCTTTTTTTTATAGCTCGCGTGCGCGAAAATGTGCAAGTAATAATTATTTTAATACTAAACGAAGAGTTTTATGTAAATAGTGCGAAACACTTTAGCAATGGTTGTATTACATTGGGATATGCGCAAATGATGCTAGGAGTAGAGGGTGTGACCGACGCCGAGGATGCTGCAAAACTATTGAGAATGTCACCGCTACGACACAGTCTGGGTTCGCACGATATTGTAAATCAAGTAGCATGTGATGCTCACAGAAATTCCAAAGGTACTCAAATTTGGCAATAATTGGTAATTGTTTCCGTCTTTATTACATAAAAGTCTTATGTAAGTAAAAATATTTGACTCGACCATTTTTCTAATTTTTTCTTAGTGTCGATAAAAACTATTATTATTTACTTAATTGTCAACAATTATAGGAGTTGATGTCTCTTATTCTAGATAAGTAGGAAAAAACGCTATCGGTGACCTTTTCTACGACCCTTATGGATTTACTTCATATTGACATCGTTTAATTTTTTGTTAAATTGATGCGATTGTGAAAGTAGGGTGAAAAGTTGTACGTGAAAATGTTGGCTGTTATCAGCAATAAACAAATAAGGGCACGTTCATATCGAAGAAAATTGATATAAAATGCTATTGCTTGTCGTGCTTTGGTAAATCATGTGGGTACACGCATCGTGTAATTTAATGCGAAACTATAATTAGGCACCATTAAAACTTGAACTAATGTCAGTCTCGAATAAAGAGCAGAAACAAGGTAAATACTTAAAATCCGGTCCTGGATTACTGTTCGCGCTCATCGAGCGTATCAAGTTGTGCTATATGTTTAAATTACTCAGCTGTAGTTTAATGTGAGTACAAACAGTGATGGTACAACACGTTGCTTTATGTAAATAATGATTTTGTGTGAGCCATTTGGCGATATCAGTAAGTAATTAGTAATTAAGTGCGGAAATATGAACGATAACGCACGCCAGACTCTTCTATTTGTTTATTTTACGCCTTCAACATTTTGCAATTGCTTAATTGTTTCAAAATACAAGCCAAACCTACCTGTTCGTGGCCTTGCGGAGGTGAATTAATCATACATTTACATTTAAAATAAACATTTAAATGCGCGCTTCCTTTTCAAATTCATCCACCTTTTGCCTCCAAACTTCAAGAGAACTTTCAACCGGAAATCGGAATTGGCAACGTTACGAAATTCTATCTGAATATAAATAAAATTTACTGTTACATGCTAATTGACGCATTACACGGCGGAATGTTTAGCATGCACGCACCTAGAAGATTCGCAAATTAACAATATTTTCATTTCAGACTTAAGTGGTTGGAATGGGAGTATATCGCAGCGATGGAGGAAACTAAGGAGATGTTGCGCCTCACTGAGGACATCCAGCGCGCACAACAGCCCAGAAACATCTCGCAATGCGTTATTAGAAACGGAAAGTCCGCGTATTCTAGTCACAACCCCACACAGCAGTTCATCCCTACGTCTTCCAGGCAAGCGGGAATCTGTACAGGAAGTCCTCAGGTCAAAGTTAAATAGAATTCACGCAGGATTAAGGAAGCGGCGAGCGCTCAGCGTTCAAGAGGTCTTCAGCAACGGTAGTCCTGTTCACGAGCAGCCCACATTTTATGTACCCTCCCCTAACGGAAACAACGCCACGATAAAAACTATCGATAACTGTGATAAAGTAGAACGTAAGGTTAAAGAAAATCGGCGCAGCAGATCTCGTTCCCGGTTTAGCATAAACGGCAATAACGAATTTATCATCGGCACTGATGGTGGTTATCATAGCTACGAGAGCCAAGGGTACGACTCCCTCCCGTTCGAACCCGAACCAGATTACGACGATCCTCCCCTAACAACAAATAGCTGCAATCGCAGATGGTCAATGGCGGATACCTTCATGATGTACAAAAATTTCTGTCGGCAACCGCACGTCATACATACCAAAGAGTCCGACTCCGGTCCCGCTTCATTAACATTAGTGCATAAAGAAACATCGAATAGTAAAATAATTGAAACCACTAATCGAATACCGAAAGCCAAACTTTCAAAAAGTCGCGAACGGACCCGCTCACATTCTCCGGCCAAAAATAAAAATGCGAAACAGATCGACACGTCGTCGTCGTCGGTAAGCGTAACCAAAGAAACAAATACGAAAAATTATAATTCTAAGGTAGTTGCATCTAAAAGTCATTATGGGTTTATTAGTCCTGAACAAAGACCGGAAGTTAATCCGAATGTCGATTACGCCCGGATGAGCAAGGAGTGCAAACAGGTATGTCGCTTTATTAGATTTGTTAATCGTTTCCCTTGCGTAATTGATCAGGACTGGCTCGAGGAGTTAGAAGAAGAAGAAGAGGAAGAGGAGAGCAAGTTTTGCACACTACCTCGGAACGGTGGTAGCGCCTTCACTATTTGCCAAATAACGTTTCACAAAGGGCCTGGGTATAAAGCTTTAGGCTTTAGCATCGTCGGCGGCACCGACTCTCCTAAGGGTAGCATAGGAATCTACGTAAAAACCATTTTCCCTAACGGCCAAGCGGCCGATAGTGGAACATTAAAAGAAGGTAAGCTGGGGCGCGATTATAAATCGATGTAAAACTTTGCTCGGTAGGTGATGAAATATTAACCGTTAACGGTACAGTCCTTCACGGCTTATCGCACCAGGAAGCGATTGGCGTATTCAAAAAGATAAGAATGGGTTCTGTGCTTCTTCACGTTGGTAGAAGAGTAGTCCGCAAACGCAAAGAACGATTTCCGCCCGTGGTCTAAATGCATTCCTTAGCTTTAAATAATATATTCCAAAGATTCACCACAGTTGCGTAATGTATAATTAATATTTTATTATTAATACCTATATTTTCTAACTTTTATACGTATTTTGCTTATCTGAATAAAATGCAAGAGTTCATTAGAAGTCTTGAGTCATTATGCAGATTCTTACAGACTAGTCTGAATATTTGGAAACTGACGCAATCCATTCTACTTAGGTAAACCACAATATACCAAGGCTATTCTGATGCAGGATTTCGTCAAGTTCATACAAAACAAAAACGGGTCGTATTTTATTTTATGTTCGCACCTTTTTTTTTGGATTAGCGCCACATGTGTGGGGGAATGTGTCCCAGCAGACGATAAAAAAAACTAATGTTTATTCATGATACACAGTACTTATCATTGATAGCGATAGGAACCATGAACATATATGTAAACAGTGAATTTCATCTTTTAGGAGGACTTTACCTTCTGTTAAAACTACGCACCCATACATGTGACACGAGTATTTCGTTGTTTCCATGAAGATATCCAAAGATCCGTTACAATGGCGTATTCCTTTTTCGGATTTATGCACCTATGCCATTTTTCGTGCTCTTAGGTGCTGCTAATTAAAAATCTTGTCCTCATGATTTGCACAATTTGCAAATAGTTTATCCAAAGCGTTTCGGCCGTAGGAAACTCGTGCGAAATTTACATCCTCTTCTTATGGGAAACGGTGGCACCGTTCTACATCTTTCTTATTTCTACATGAATTTTGGATTCTGCGTAAAAGTTTTGTGCCTTATCCATACCAACAAGTATAAATTGTCCACAACTCTTGTGCAGATAAAGCGCATTTTTTTAAAACCGAATTAGCTTAGTAAATGGATGCATACTATATTTATCGATGTTTTCTTTCTTCTTAGATGTTTAATGGGCAGACTTCACCAATAGATATGTCTTCATTTTACCTTTATGAGTAGTTTCCTCCGACGTTTTGGAGTTTTCGCTCGTAAAGTTTTGACATCACCAATAGATATATTTCTTATAGACGTCCTAATCGCCCTGTGTGAATACCATCCTCCGACAACCTGTTCTTGAGATATAAGGAATTATTAATATCCGATCACGATAAGGAGTCGAGGCGGAGGCTATGGTTGATAGAAATTAATTCCTTTGATTGAGACCTTTAATTGGAATACCATGAAAGATAAAATTAATTTCTACCCCCTCCCTCCTCCCCCCGGCCACCTACTGATCTAGGAAAGGTCGCGCAGGAAAGTTATAGTTTGTGCAAACTAATTAATTTCGGTAATATTCACCCGCGATGCGCGTTTGAAGATAAGACTCCGACATCTCGTTCACCCGCAATTCGGATTTGAAGTTGTGACTCCACCATCATTAAGATCTTGCCGGGAGTAATCACACTCCCTATGTCAGTGTCTACTTCCGACGTCCCATTCACTCGCAATTCGCGAACAATATTTTTGCATTTTTGAATGTCCTGAACGTTTATATAATTGCTACCTTGCCTATTACAACTGCGGGAAATGAAGGGTCTTTTCAATATTGAAACGAGCAAAGAACTTCCACTACCCACTGGTCATTGAAAGACTTTGCTCCCTGATGTTAATGGCTGTGGAACGTGAAGAAACTAAAAACATTAACATCAAACTCAACCAACTTTTAAATGATTTCGCGTCTCTGAAATGACGTCGGTACTCTTTATTATATTAAATGCTCAATATTGCTATTTCCTAAATTTGTATTTTCATGGAATATTAACAAAAGAAAAGTACATATTTATTAAGAATTAAAAGTATTATGTAGGTACTCCGTTTTTAAAGAATCACGTTCCATTGTAAGGTACAATTTTGAAGAGATTTGAGGAATCGCTTTGGTTTCCAGCGACGACGTATATAAATATAGGAAACCAGAGATTACAAACAAGTATAAATTGTGCACAACTCCTGTGCAGATAAAGCGCATTTTTTTAACCGAAATAGCTTTTGTTTTGACATCACCAATGGATATATATCCTGCAGACGACTCAATCGCTCTTTGTAAGTACCCTCTTCCGACAATCCGTTCTTGAGGTCGAGGTCGAGGAGGAGGGCTATGGTTGGTAGAAATTAATCCCTTTCGTTGAGACCTTTCATTAGAGTACCATGAAGGATAAAACTAGTTCCACTTTCAAAAACAGCTTCGCAGGAAAGAATTCGTGGGGGGGCCCTTTTAGACAGCGAAATTTGATGGCCGTCTGACACACCTTGAAGGTATAGGCTACCTACTGCAAAAAATTCCAGGACTATAGGACCATTCCGCTAGAAGTAGATCAAAACGGCAGAAGTGGGTCCGGACGGACGGGCGGACAAAACGCAAACAATAGCAAATTTTTTTTAATTTTTAAAAAATGCGCTAAAAAGTACTGGCACACAAACTTGCCATACAAGTACAGGTAGGTACTCGTAAGTATGCAAGCAATGTTAACAGTTACTTTATACTTATACATCAAATGGAATTACCCTGAATAATTCATAAATTCCAAAGATTTTCTACGTGTGATTTATCCGGCTCTGGTGATAAAATATTCTAGGTCTCAGAGTCCGAATTGAAAGTCACTAATGCAAGATTCTCCATTACCATCAGATCGAAATTAAAGCCATTTGGAATCGACCTTATCGATGTCATATTCTTAACTTTAATTGCAGCTTTAATAGGAGAGAGGGGAGATTCTCCTGCAATACTCGGTACCTACTTGTGTAAAGAACACCACCGCAGCGATTATATGGATTTGGAATCGCACCCGCAACTAGTATAGTGTAATAACATATCACATATTGAGAGATATGAATGTAGTGTTGAAGATCTTTTAGTTTGTTTAATATTGCTTACTGGTCACCAAATATATTCCCGATTTGTGTAGGAGAATATCTCTCAGCAGACCATAAAAAAACTAATGTTCAATAAACTAAACAAATGTAGAAAACGAGCTCCTGGGTATGACTATAGCATGTGCAAAACCAAATTTTAAACCTGATGTTAGTTTTGCTTTTATTCCAAGTGGCTATGTATCAAATTTCATTTGAATCCATCCATAAATAAGAAAGTTGGCACTGCGCATGCGCAAAACGAAATTTTGAAACTGGCGTTAAATTTGCTTTTATTCAAAGTGCATATGTATCAAATTTCATTTAAATACCTTCACAAATAAGAAAGTTTGCTATCCGGTTTGTAAATGGTCGTGATGCGAAAAGGGCACTGTGAATGTTTATCGATTGGGCCCAATTTTTGGAATTGCGTTTTATATGGCTAAAGCTATACGCATATTGAATTTCATGCAATTCGGTTCATAACTAACGCAGTTGTCAAAAGGGCCTTCCTTATTTTTTGGGCTACATACATACATTCAATTCACGAACTCCGATCTACAAATTTGATAAAGAATCCACCTGCAAAATTTCATCGTAATCGGTCCATTCGTTTATGAGTTATCGTGCTAACGGACGGACAGACACCGCAAAATTATAAACTCGCTCGTTAATAATCAAAAATGGCCGTTATAAAATATTAAAAATTTTTTCTTTTTGGTGTTATGTTATTTTGTTTGGTATTATGTAATTATGCATGCTGCTACCTATATTTAGTTAAATAAACAAGATAAATCGCTAACAGAAACAAGTGTACAATTCTTTCAATTTACTATGCATATGTATGTATAGGGCGTCCAATGCACCTATAGGTCGATCAATGGATATATCGGGAACTAATGCCTACAGAATTCGTGAAACTGCCCTGGAGGAGGTGACACTGTATAACGATTAGCTTTGGATCGGTGGCAGTCCAGTCACCATTGTTTGATGTTGGACCTTATTTTAGGCCGCACAAAACGTTGGCAGATTAGTTTGGCCGTTTTCCTTCATCCCAAGTGACACATCTTTCGTGAACTTCATTCAACTCATATGTCTACAACTTTCGGACAAGTGTGCATTCATATCAACTTCATATAACCATAATATAACTATTATCAATTCAATGATATAACACGAATACGAGGCTTGACCTGGGGGAATTATGGAGCCGGAATGGGAATCGACGGACTAAGCCTAAGCAGTCTAAGCGGAATTAAAAGTATTGTAAACAAGTTAAAAAAGTAATCGTAAATGATTTACAAAAAGCGCATTTCCACTTGCCCATAACTTATGATATAGATTTTTAAGCGAAAAAATACGAATCGTTTTGGATTCTACGCCCCAACATTTATAAGAAAAGTGTTTTCTCGAACATTTTTGAGGTAGTCGATTTTCGGTTAATAGCAAGGCCTATATTTGCCTATATTTTGGGTCGGAAAAATGGATTGTCCGAAATCGACCGGGAAAAAACAGTTTCTTATAGAATGTGGCCTGTAGAATCCATAATTTCGAACAGTTCCAAGATTGGGCTACTAGTTCAAAAGTTACAGCCCTTTGAATTTTCTTTCGAAATTGGTTTCTAGTCCATAACTTTTGATTGAGAAGTTCGATCGAAAAAGTACGAATTGTTTTGGATTCTACGCACCAAAATTAATAAGAAAAAGTGTTTTCCCGAGAAATTTTGGTGCAGTCGATTTTTGGTAAAAAAGGAAAGTTATACACTGCCTTCTTTTGAGCCCCGAAAAAAAATTTGTCTCAGATCGACCGGAAAAAGGCATTTTCTTATAGAATGTGGCCTGTAGAATCCATAATTTCAAACAGTTCCAAGATTGGGCTACTAGTTCAAAAGTTACAGCCCTTTGAATTTTTTTTCGAAATTGTTTTCTAGTCTATAACTTTTGATTGAGAAGTCTAATCGAAAAAGTACGAATTGTTTTGGATTCTACGCACCAAAATTAATAAGAAAAAGTGTTTTCCTGAGAAATTTTGGTGCAGTCGATTTTTGGTAAAAAAGGAAGGTTATACACTGCCTTTTTTTGAGACGCGAAAAAAAAATTGTCTCAGATCGAACCGGAAAAAAAATGTTCTTATAGAATGTGGCCTGTGGAATCCATAATTTCCAACAGTTTCAAGATTGGGCTACTAGTTCAAAAGTTACAGCCCTTTGAATTTTCTTTCGAAATTGGTTTCTAGTCTATAACTTTTGATTGAGAAGTCTGATCGAAAAAGTCCGAATTGTTTTGGATTCTACGCACCAAAATTAATAAGAAAAAGTGTTTTCCCGAGAAATTTTGGTGCAGTCGAAAAATTTTGGTGCAGTCGATTTTTGGTAAAAAAGGAAGGTTATGCCTGGTACTGCCTTTTTTTGAGTCTCGAAAAAAAAAATTTTTGGATAATTAGTTTAAATACATTTGGTACAAGTGCGCCATCTCCTTGGTAATCGATACACTTTCTTTCATGTTCTAGTATTACAATTTTAGTTGAGATGTCGCCACGTACGTAACTCCTTCAGAAATAGCATTTGAATTTATGCGATTAATAGCCGCGTTGGACTTAGTTTTTCTTAAATGGCATTTCAAGATGTACGGAGTCTTGCAAAATCTGTAGAGCAATTGTAGTTCAATGCCCCGGTTTTTGAATAATTAGTTGAAAAACAAACGGTTCAAGTGCGCCATCTCCTTTGGAATCGATACACTTTCTCTCATTGTGTAGTTATAGTAGTTTCGTTGAGATGCCGCCACGTACGTAACTTCTGTAGGAATAACATTTGAATTTATGCGATTAATAGCCGCGTTATACTTAGTTTTTCTTAAATGGCATTTCAAGATGTACGGAGTCTTGCAAAATCTGTAGAGCAATTGTAGTTCAATGCCCCGGTTTTTGAATAATTAGTTTAAAAACAAACGGTACAAGTGCGCCATCTCCTTTGGAATTGATACACTTTCTCTCATTGTATAGTTATAGTAGTTTCGTTGAGATGCCGCCACGTACGTAACTCCTTCAGAAATAGCATTTTAATTTATGCGATTAATAGCCGCGTTTGGCTTAGTTTTTCTTAAATAGCATTTCAAGATGAACGGAGTATTGCAAAATCTGTAGAACAATTTGTAGTTCAATGCCCCGGTTTTTGAATAATTAGTTTAAATACAATTGGTACAAGTGCGCCATCTCCTTGGTAATCGTTACACTAACTTTCACCTTATAGTATTATAAGTGTAGTTGAGATGTCGCCACGTACGTAACTTTTTTAATAACTTCTGAAATTTAACCACGACCCACGATCGACATACAGATTCAAAAGGCGGCGGGACGACACCTTTGCGGACCTGGGGCATACAGACACTCCAGGACATGCTTTATTTGAGTGTGAGAGGTGAGAAAGGCGTACATGGACGCTGAGAATGGAGTTGGTGGACACACACCCCCACGCATCTTTGCACACTACTCGTGTCGAAGTAATTATTTCAAAGCTTAGGTGACAATGAGAGGCTCCTCAAATGGTTCCCCGTGGCCGTACCGTGCGCGTCCGTCACCTTGTTAAACGACACTGTGCTCACGATGTAAACCTGCTCTCACAGAAACATTTCAACGCCTTACTTCGTTTTAAACCTTTACAAAACTTGTATCAGGAGAATATAATGTCCGAGAAGGTGATTGAGAGTTAGCGAGGTGTCGTCCCGTCGCCTTTTGAATCTGTATGTCGATCGTGGCTAAATTTCAAAAGTTGTTAAAAAAAAGTTACGTACGTAGCGACATCTCAACTAGACTTATAATACTATAAGGTGAAAGTTAGTGTAACGATTACCAAGGAGATGGCGCACTTGTACCAATTGTATTTAAACTAATTATTCAAAAACAGGGGCATTGAACTACAATTGTTCTACAGATTTTGCAATACTCCGTCCATCTTGAAATGCCATTTAAGAAAAAGTAAGTCCAACGCGGCTATTAATCGCATAAATTCAAATGTTATATCTAAAGAAGTTACGTACGTGACGGCATCTCAACGAAACTACTAAAACTATACAATGAGGGAAAGTGTAGCGATTACCATGGAGAAGGCGCACTTGTCCCAATTGTATTAAAATAATTATTCAAAAACCGGGGCATTGAACTACAATTGCTCTACAGATTTTGCAAGACTCCGTCCATCTTGAAATGCTATTTAAGAAAAACTAAGCCCAACGCGGCTATTAATCGCATAAATTAAAATGCTATTGCTGAAGGAGTTACGTACGTGGCGACATCTCAACTAAACTTGTAATACTAGAACATGAAAGAAAGTGTATCGATTGCCAAGGAGATGGCGCACTTGTACCAATTGTATTTAAACTAATTATTCAAAAAATCTTTTTTACCAAAAATCAACTGCACCAAAATTTCTCGGGAAAACACTTTTTCTGATTAATTTTGGTGCGTAGAATCCAAAACAATTCGTACTTGTTCGATCAGACTTCTCAATCAAAAGCTATGAACTAGAAACAAATTTCGAAAGAAATTCAAAGGGCTGTAACTTTTGAACTAGTAGCCCAATCTTCAAACTATTTGAAATTACGGATTCTACAGGCCACATTCTATAAGAACATTTCTTTTCCCGGTCGATCTGAGACAATTTTTTTTCGGTCCTCAAAAAAAGGCAGTGTATAATCTTCCTTTTTTACCAAAAATCGACTGCACCAAAATTTCTCGGGAAAACACTTTTTCTTATTTAATTTTGGTGCGTAGAATCCAAAACAATTCTTACTTTTTCGATCAGACTTCTCAATCAAGGTATAGACTAGAAACCAATTTCGAAAGAAAATTCAAAGGGCTGTAACTTTTGAACTAGTAGCCCAATCTGGGAACTGTTTGAAATTATGGATTCTACAGGCCACATTCTATAAGAGAAATTTTTTTCCGGGTCGATCTGAGACAATTTTTTTTTCGAGCCTCAAAAAAAGGCAGTGTATAACCTTCCTTTTTTACCAAAAATCGACTGCACCAAAATTTCTCGGGAAAACACTTTTTCTTATTAATTTTGGTGCGTAGAATCCAAAACAATTCGTACCTTTTCGATCAGACTTCTCAATCAAAAGTTATAGACTAGAAACCAATTTCGAAAGAAAATTCAAAGGGCTGTAACTTTTGAACTAGTAGCCCAATCTTGGAACTGTTTGAAATTATGGATTCTACTAGGCCACATTCTATAAGAAATTTTTTTTCGGGGTCGATCTGAGACAATTTTCTTTTCGGGGCTCAAAAAACCACTTTCGAAAGAAAATTCAAAGGGCTGTAACTTTTGAACTAGTAGCCCAATCTTGGAACTGTTTGAAATTATGGATTCTACAGGCCACATTCTATAAGAAATTTTTTTTTCGGGTCGATCTGACAATTTTTTTTCGGGCCTCAAAAAAAGGCAGTGTATAACCTTCCTTTTTTACCAAAAATCGACTACTCCAAAATTTCTCTAATCGTTTTGGATTCTACGCACCAAAATTAATAGGAAAGTGTTTTCCCGAACATTTTTGGGATAGTCGATTTTCAGTGAAAGGCCATATCTCCAGATATTAAAATCACTCCGTTCTTACTATGCTCTTATCACATAATGACTGGTTGCATTCCTCCAATTCATCCACTACACCACAAACAAGTATAGTTGAAAATAATTTCAAGGGTTAATAAAGATCAAATTTATTCGTTTCTCAATTAATGAAGATTTGTGAATACAATTGTAACTAAAATAAAGAAATAACTTAAGGATACAAAATAAATAGATATGGAAATGGAAGGGGATGATCAATTTTAGTTTTCTAATTAAAAACTAGTTATCATTTAAAGTACATGATCACATATTAACTTAAGTGTCGGCAATCAAAATTTCTGATTGAAGTCTTAGTGGACTCTATATAAACTGTATGATTTATTCAACACACCTTTTATTACATTGTTGTCATACAACATAACAAATATCAACAAACACTTCATTAACACGCTTTGTAACTTTATGGAAGCATGTAACAAATCTGTATTTTCATAGAAAGGGTTTCTTAATCGATAGTCAATAACTGTATAAATTTCCTAAAAATAACAAATTGATATCAACGTAATGATTTGCTCCCACATAAGTTTTTGAAGTTTAATTATATTACGCAACTTCGTAGAACGATTAGCCTTTTTATAATATTTCAAATTCCTCATCATCGACATATTCACTATCCTGGCCTTCAACTGGATATTCAACGTCGGGAGGTAACTGTCTTATAGGAGGTAATTCGGCGTCCTTTTGATAGCCGTCGCAAAATATGAACATAGGATATTCGGCGTGACCCCCCTGGCCGGGTGGTATGACTAGCTGTAATGAAAGTGTCTATCTATCATGGGCACAGTGCCATTAAATAACTTACTGTTTGCACATTCTCAATAAGATTCAAAAAATCTTCTTCGGTACTACAGTAGAATCCGATACAGCAAGACGGATCCATTTTGCTAAGATGCATTTTTCTAGGAGATCTGCAATGAAAGCTCGATAGGGGAAAATCTGCCGCCCACACGTCCACCATCTCTTGACAGTAATGAGGATCTAAATGTATTAATTTATCATCTTGGTATCCGATAAAATAAAGGGAATGTTTCGGACGTCCGCCTATTATACCAATACATTGTTCTATGCTTAAAAGAGCCGTCACACATGGAGCGTAAATTGGGTTAAACTTCTCGGCGCCTAGACGAACGGGAATAAGCAAAATTAAAGATTTCCAATTTCCGTCCTTTTTCGGGGAACACTGTTCTAACACGTCCCTAACATAAACTGTAATCAAGTTTGTTTCAATGTTACACGTTCAGTCGGATCAAATGACTCTTACTTGCGCAATCCTGAGCGACATAAACGTGAAGAGAGTCAAATTCATAATTATCCTTAGATGCTAAGTTTACAGCCTTCCTGCAATGAAAACATAAGTAAATACCAAATACAAATTGTAAAGTAGGCAATAATGGCTAGGATAATTATAAACAAGTATAAATTGTGCATTTTTAAACCCAAATACACAGTAACCACTGCTGCAACTCTGTCTTAAAATTTTTATCTAAAGTAGTTACATGCAGCAATTTACAAAATGATGAATTGACAGGTTTAGGCGTTGAGACAGAGGGCATGTACGGTTTCCTCTCTGGGGAGTAAGTGTAACCTACAAATTTAGATTCGTCATGAAGGTAGGAGAAATGTTTGGTATGATACTTCGTAAAATTCGGTAGTTTAGTGACGTTATGACGTCACAAAGATGGCTTCCGGGCGAAAATCTTAGTTACACATTCTAAAGTCTGGTTTCATGTGTAAGGAGTAAAAGTATCATACAAATTTTGATTCAGCATAAAGCTAGAATCAATGTTTGAGATGATACTTGATTATTATTCAAGATATTTTGTACAATTTGGTAGCTTAGTGACATCGTGACGTCACAAATATGGCCGCCAAGTGAAAATCTTCCAAGGATACCCATCTGTTCCTGCAGTTTCTCTTGAGAGGGGAGAGTGTCGCGTTTAAGTTAGTCATTAGGTCAAGATTTTATTCATGCTGTCACAGAAGGACAAAGCATATTCTGCTACCATTTGCTCTTAAATCCCTGTCTGGCAAAGTCGTTGAGTTAACTAAACTCCTAAATAGATGTGGCCATGAGCTTTCATACTCTTAAATCGAAGAAATTGAAACAGCAATAGCTATGCAGATTTCAGCTTGAGAAGAGCAACAGTTAGTAATTCCGAATTACAAATGCAATTACTTACACACCTCGCATGGGATAATATCGATCGTTTAGAAGGAACTTTCTCAGGCAGTGGAACCAGTCATCGAGTTAATGGGATTAAAACACAGCCCATACCAAATCATTGCATGACGCCGCTGTACGACCTTACAACCCTGGCAGGAGGGTTGGCCCTACCCATTGTACACAAGAAGATGGCCGGCCTGTGTGGCGCAGTTCAGTTGAAGCTGGACTGTGGTGCTGGTTCGAATCCGGGTTCGGGCATGGATATTTGTAAATGTATAGTGGGTTGGGTTGGTAGAGCAGCCTTGGCTGAAACCCCGCCCACTCAAAAATAAAGGCTAAATAAATAAATAAATAAATAAAATAAAAATAAATTTCAAAGACATACGTAAAAAATAACAAGTTAAAAAGTAATCGTAAACGATTTACATAAAGCGCATTTCCACTTGCATTCATTTCCATTTGTAAGATGCTTTTCTAAATAAGAAAGTTGGAACTGCGCATATGCAAACCTAAATTTTGAAGCTAACGTTAGATTTTCCTTTGTTCCAAGTGGCTATGTATCGAATTTCATTTAAATCCCTTCATAAATAAGAAAGTTGGCACTGCGCATGCGCAAAACCAAATTTTGAAATTGGCGTTAAATTTGCTTTTATTCCAAGTGGCTAAGTATCAAATTTCATTTAAATACTTTTAAAGGGTGTGGCATTTTTAACGCACATTTTAAATTCGAAATTAAACACATTAAATAAATACGAAATTGAAATATTTTTATTGGAATTTGAAGTTGTGTTCATGACATTACGTATGGAATATAACATCATTTAAATGGCCACCTCTGGCTTGGTGGCCACATGCCACACGGCACGTGAAACCATGCAGTTATTGCGTGGAAAATTCGGAAATCGCATAATTTCTCGTTTCAGCGATGTTAACTGGCCTCCAAGATCTTGCGATCTAACCCCATTGGATTTCTTTCTTTGGGGTTTTCTTAAAAGCAAGGTTTATGTGAACAATCCTGAAACCATCGATGCATTGAAGGACGAAATTCGTCGCTGTATTGAGGAGATTGATCCAGAATTATGCGAAAATGTTATGGAAAATTTTAATAAAAGAATGCGGTCTTTCCACCAAGCCAGAGGTGGCCATTTAAATGATGTTATATTCCATACGTAATGTCATGAACACAACTTCAAATTCCAATAAAAATATTTCAATTTCGTAATTATTTAATGTGTTTAATTTCAAATTTAAAATGTGCGTTAAAAATGCCACACCCTTTATAATTAAAAAAGTTTGCAACTCCGTTTATAAATGGGCGAGATGCGAAAAGGGCGCTGTGAATTTTGAATCGATTCGACTCAACTTTTGGCATTGCGTATTATATGGCTAAAGCTATGCCCATATTGAATTTCATGCAATTCAGTTCATAACTAACGGAGATGTAAAAGCGATCTGAGATTTCTAAACAAAGTTATCGTTCACACGGACAGATAGGGGGACAGACAGACAAAGGAACAGACGGACAGACCAACAGGCAGACGACATACAGCAATGCAAAATTATAAACAATCTCTAGGATCGTTAAGAAACGGCAAAAGTGTAAAATTATGAAACATGCAAAAAAACGGTTTTTCGTTTTTTTACAATAACTTTTTTGTAAGCGGTATAGAAAAAATTCCTTCCTTGGTGCAAGACTCGACACCATAGCGAACCAAATAGCGAAAAAAGTAGAACAATAGCTCTTAAGATAAAAAACTAGTAGAGTCTCAACACGAGCGGACGGACGGACAAAGTGGCCACAATAGCGCATTTTTTTGTGGAAATGCGCTAAAAAATAAAAAAATTAATATTTTGTGGACTATGATGCGTTGTATTGGTCCCAAACGCAAAGTGGTTCCCAGTGAGACAGGATTTAATATCAAACTGCGAAAGGGCATTGTAACAAATCCTACAGAAATTGGATACTTGCCCACAATTGATGCTTGTTCTTGAATTATTGTCATGTTCCTGCAAGGAAAATTGTGAGCCGAATACATGCTGCTGTATCAAAAATTCATTGAAATGTACGGATATGTGTAAAATTCAGGTTTGCAGTAACTATTCACGACCAGATTATGATTTCGAAACTTCATCGGGTTCAGACGACAGTTCAGATGATGAATAATCATTGTTTCTTTTGAAAATAGATATATATGCTCTGTATAATGTTATACAATACATAATAATATTAATATAATGATGTACAATATAAAACAAAGCATTTTTATTTTAAATTAAGTTTAGAATTTAGGTGTCAATACGAATTGTTAAACAGAATTTAAGTGAATACAAAGTCTATATCAAATTATAAAGCAGTATCATGAAAACCTCTTAGCTAATAGCTGCCATCTTAGCTACCAACTTTCACAAAGTATCATCCGAATCATTGATCTTTATGTATGATTGAAATTAAAATTTGTATTATACTGGTAGTCCTCACAAGTTGATCCTGGCCTTAAAACGGTATAATTTTCACTTGGCGGCCATATTTGTGACGTCATGATGTCACTAAGCTACCAAATTTGACAAAATATCATTTTGAATATGGTACTCTTAATCCTTACACATGAAACCGGACTTAAGAATGCTTAACGAAGATTTTCGCCCGGAGGCCATCCTTGTGACGTCACTAAGCTACCGAATTTTACGAAGTATCATACCAAACATTTATTCTACCGTCATGACGAATCTAAATTTGTAGGTTACTTACTCCCCAGAAAGGAAACCAAATCGTCCATTTTTGATCACCTGGCTCAACGCCTAGTTACCTCATACACTGAACACTGTGATGTGAAGATACATTATTTAATTATACAGGGTGTTAATTAATTGAGTGCCGATAATACAGGGTGTGAATCCTCGGGTGATTTTAAGGAGAAAAGTTTATATCAACATATTATGTATATGTTACCGGCAAACTGCGAAATCCGACATTTTGCAAAATGCCTAGGCATTTCGCGAAATGACGAATGTAACAGGCAAAGTGAGAAACGGGATTTCACGAAATGCCTAAACATGCAGGCAAAGTGCGAGGGCTTCGTCATTTCCCACAGATTGTGCATACAGCGTTGCCATTGGATGGTAAACGACGCGACTATTGCGATTTTATTTAAGTATTCGCTAAATATTGCGCTCACGTTTAGACTGCATATCTTCCATGGGTTCTCTGTTGAGTTAAGCTTTGGATTTACTGTGGAGTATATATCAGATGGAGGAAGGTACTATCGCGACCGTTTTACTTTTGCACCGCTGTACGCGCAATCTGTGGAAAATAACCGAGCATTCTCACTTTGCCTGAACGTTTAGGCATTTTGCGAAATCCCTAAAGAGAGGCAGGAGAAGTGCGAACTCGAGTTCCATTTATCACTTTGCCTGCTGCATTGGCCATTTCGCAAAATGCCGGATTTCGCTGTTTGCCGGTAACATATACACAAAATAAGCGACACTTCCATGTTACATGTGAATATACTTTAATAAAACCACTTTTACAAACGCATACAGTCTAAACTTGAATGTCTTAGGAAAGAAAAATGTCATAGAGGGAGCTACATTTTGCATCTGGCAAGAATCGCCTCTTCCATATCGACAACCTTATCAGTCGAGAGGAGAAGGAACATCTTACGCATCTTCCATGGACCGCCTCTTTGTTAGCGACTGCCGATTGACTTCAAACGCCTATTCATGTCTGGGTAATATTGTGGGTGGGAACCAGGGAGGCAACAGTTTATTCAGATATCAGCTATCTTGATTATATTGTTAACTGAAACTTTGTTAATATACAGAGATGTTTTTTTTTAATTTTTATAGTATAACTAATAAATTATTATTATTATTATTATTGTCGAAAATTGTCAGTATTATCCTATTAAGTAGATATCCATTACTACAAAATGCGAGATAGAGTTGAAGTATGCAACTGCTTGCATAGCTAACTCTTGTATCATGTTAGTCGTTACTATCTGACTATTACAATTCATACCATCGTAAGCAATTCAAAATTTTCCAAGTATCACTAATCAAGTGGCTTGTAACTAACTAAAATTGAATTGCTATGCGTCAATTTGAGAATGAAGAAAATCACTAGGTTCTAACATTTTTGTATACCTTATTTTGTAAAGGCCTTCTTGTCGTTTCCCCCCCCCCCCCATGTTGACCTTTCAAGTGGGTACTATTATTACACAATTAACTAGTATCTGATTAAAATCTCAGTTGAGACATGGAAATTTTACAAGTACGCAGTTGATTTACAAGATAGGAACAAGCACCCTCAAAACGAAGTCAATAAAGTACTTACTTGTAAATGATAAAAGATACAACCAAATTTATGTATTTGCTGATAAGCTCGAATTATATCTGTTTTGAGATCACGAAACTGGATGATTTGTATGTTAAAGTGCGCTGGAAGTCCATGCCCAAACCCAGATTTAAAACAAGAAACGTCCTGGATATAGCCAAGCATGTATGATATAGAAAAAACAGATTGGATGCGAAGTCAAGTTAACTTACTTTAAAAGATGAGCGACAAATCCAGGACCATACCAGTCTCCGGCTTTCTTGCCCATACTTTCACCTAATTGAACTAAAGAATGTATAGATAATGGACTATTTCGTGACGGCTTATCTCCGAACCACTTAATAATTTTCCTATGATTTACATTTTCAATGTAACTTTGCTTGGTGGTAGGTTGCTGTTCCGGGTTCCAGCGCCACCCTGTCAATAATAAACTATATCGCCAATTACGCGCGCGCATTAAACACTTACCTCTATTAAGGAAGTGACGTATTAATGCTTCGGCAAGAAGCATCTGACCACTTCGCACCATACATCCCCAACCGCAATCGCTGCTAAAGGTCGAGCCGTTTAGTACCGGAAATTCCCTACGATATGTTAACCATAAACGACTCATAAAATCCGCTTTAAATCCTTCGAATCCCTCTTCGTCGCTATTCGCAATGTCCGTTTGACTTTGAAAAGCCACGACGTCGGTACCAAGTTCGGTACTATCGGAGCACGGGCTTTCAACTTTCTTATGGTAACACTTCCCCAATAACCACACTGGAGATTCCTTCGAAAAATTTGTCTTTAGTTTCATGCCTATAAGAAATTATTGATTAACATGCTAAGTATCGACAGTAATTCGCATATTAAGTAGGACATATTTGTATTTAAGACGCAACAAAAGAATAATTTTAACTTTGATGGGCCATTGTAAAGACGAATTTTAACATGCGAAACCAAAAAGTCGAGGGTAGGTGAGGTGGATGTGCGCATTTTGCCAATATGCAAAAACTGTTCAATTGTTACATAAACTACGTCATTCGGACGTTTTGATTGACATCAACACCTACAGTAACAATGAATCACCCTAAATCTCAATTTTTCTTAAAGTTAAATGTGGTCGCTAATTTAGAATGAACACCATTTCGATCATATCATCAAATATTTGAGTTATTAGACGTTTAATTTTGTTTAAATAATCGTCTTGTATATTGTGTTGACTTATTGTAAAGTTCGAGTACGTCAAGAGCGTTGTGTTTTTCCAGGAGTTCGTTATCGCTCTGTGAAAGCTAATAATTTACAGGCAGGTGTTCGCCGAAGTAAACCCAGATGTTAGTTTATCGAAGACACATTTACAAGTTAAATTACAACAAAGTCATTTTTTTTTAAATCAAGAATCAATTGAAAGTAAAGAAGTGATTAACTCTTCAAGGTAATTAGAATTTTCTTTTAAATTTAATTTATTTCAATCGATCGCATCTGCGTGGTACATTGGCCCTGAGTGCGTTTCTTGCTTACAGCATTGTTGTCATTTTTGTCAAATAAATTTGTGACCAGCTTTGTGTTTAATCGAGCCCAAATTACGACCCAGGATATAAGAGTTCTCATAGAGGAGAATTATGTTACGTGTTAATTAAAAATCTGTTACCTAATTCTTCGGAATTGTGGGGAGGCAAGCTAAGGCAGCCGAGTTCTCGCATAATAAAAATCTTTATCGAGGTTTTCCTAATAGCAGTGATGTCAGACGTGCCTTGGGATATATAGTCAACATTTTCATAAAGTCAACAAATTTGTTTTGCGCATGCGCAATCCAATGTTTTATTTATTAAGAGATTTAAATGAAATTTTGTATGTAGGCACCTCGAATAAAAGTATGACTAATGCCGAATCAAAAAATTTGTTTAGGGCATGCGCGATTCAATTTTTTTATTTGTTAAGATATTTAAATGAAATTTTATATAGGCACCCCATATTTTATTGCAGATTTGGAAAGTACTCAAAAAGTATTATGTAACATATTATACCCTTAACTTTAGCGATTTCGCATTCTCCCTCATTTGATCGTTTTTCGACTTTTTTTAGAGAAACTAAATCGCGCCGGCGACTAAGTTTTGAATTGAAGCACAGACTTCTTACAGTTTCACATAATTTATTGTGGTATTTCCACTGATAACAAAAAATTTGTAGAAAAACGTTCGTTTCCGAACCCCAGTCAAAGTCCGAAAAGAACGTTTTTCTACAAATTAGCATTTTGACTATTTTTTTTCTATGAAATTTGCTTAGGAATTTTTTTGAAGTGTCTTTTATGGCAAAAGAATTATGAACCGAGCGGTCCAAGATGCTATTTCGCTTCACGACCAGAAGAGTCAAGCTCTGTCGTTTCCCTTTGAGTTTCGGATTGGGAATCTCAAAAATCGATATTACTGCTGTAATTATACACAACTATCGTTTACGTACAAGCATTGAACGTTGAACTTTGCCAACCGTATTATTTGCATACCTGAATTGCCAGTGAAGGACGACATCTTTGATCAATTGTGGTATTTGATCCCCTTTGAAACAATCAATCTCATAATCGATTGAAGATGGTTCTGTGGTGACTTTTAGATGGACATTGCGCCAAATGTGTGTGATCAGTTCGCTCTTAAAAATTAATAATACACTCAGTAATGCGCACATATTACGTATGTAGTTTATGTCATGTGGTGTAGTGTAGAGAATATTCCAGAAATCTCGATAGATATCGAGGCGCCATATATTTATTGTTTATTATTTGTAAATAAATAAAGCACGTAATTAAATTTACGTTACAATAGTATAGCGAAATTTAAATTTTAAATGCAGCTAGTGTTTTTTATTTTGTTTTTTTTTTAATGTTTTTTTTGTAAACAGTTTGCGAAGTGGATGATTAAGCGTTTGTTTGTTTGTTCCTTTCTTTTAATTGTTCATTGTTGTGAATTAACTGAAATATATTAAAGGCGTTAATCGCAAAAAAAACATTTTTTTAAATTTTTCAACGACCGAGTCTGTAGGTCTAGTGTACTGAACGGTTCCTTTTGAAAGTTCCTTGTCAGTCTAATTTAGGTGAACCGACAGTAAAATGTAGATGTTGTATAAAATATATTATTTGCGCACAGTCGACCGCTTCAGACGAATTCTCTTTTCACAAATGAAACCCGCTCTCTAATAATTTAGAGGTGGTTGATTTAAATTCGCTCGCGGTTCAAGGCAAATTCTAACACAAAATATAAAACCACCCTGCAGTAATTTACAGGTGGTTGACCCAACTTCGCTCACGGTGCAATGTGTATTGCCTAACGGTTGCATTGAAACAACAAATTTCCACAAACTCTTTCCTGTAATCTGAACCAATCACTCCATACCTTACGATTCACCGCCGCCTTAAGTTTTCAAACGCATTTGCAGAATCAGGACCGCATTTAAGAAAAGTTACTAAATGTGCAAAGAATCAACTCGATTTGTCGGTTGAAATCTGTAATAATTATAGATACACACAATGTGCTTTTTGCAAATAATTCATTCAAATATCCCACAGTACTGTATAATGCAATTTCCTTTACTAATTTTATACCAAAGTTACACACAATATACCAAATTTACCCAAGATTTACTAATTATTTACATAATTACCCACAATGACTAAATTTACTCAGGATGTACACCAAATTTAATAAGTGGTTGACCCCTCATCATTTTAATGCTTATACACAAAACACCTTTTCCTTGCGCGAATGATTACTTTTGTGAAAACCAAATTTTTGTTCTTTAATGTTTATATGCATGGAATAAAGAATCTGAATTATTATTCAATGTTATAAGAATGATAATGAAAAAATACAAAAACAAATTAGTGTGCATTTGCTCAAATTGCTAGTGGGCATATTCTCAACCACAACCCGTATTGTCAATATGTCCAATTTACCTTTTTTTGTTTGCAATGCTGGCAAACAAAAAATGACAGTTTTTTCGTATGTTATGAACTTTTTCCTTGGCATGGGCATATGTACCTCGCTTACTTTAAATGTTTTACAAAAAGGTATTTCGGGAACTCCTCAACCGCACACAAAGGCAAAGTATCTTGTTTAAATAAAACTTGCCTTGTTTAACTAATACCTACCCATTAAGGGCATGGAATTTACAGTTTAAAATTTCATAATGCTAAGATAAGAAGAGCGTTTTTACTGTCTGTCTGTGTTTACTTAGACAGGCTAAAATTGCTTATCAAGAGCTAGTTTTTCAAACAGGTTTTATATACACCCAATTAACTATTTATATTTGTTCTTCAGGTATCAACAAACCAATTACTGGCTACGTATTTTTTCGCACGTGCCTAACGTCATAACTTTGTGTACATACTAATTATAAACCTATTTGTAGTTTTCACACAATTGCCGCTACCTAAAAAATTGCAACAAATAATATTCAATTCACCTGTTGATAAATTACATCCAGGAAATCAACAGGTTTTTCCCACTATTGTGAAAAACCAACCGACGTATTTTTCCCCACACTGTGGACGCATACTATTCAAATCAGAGAGGCGGCAGTTACAAAAATTTGGGTAATTGCACTTACCATACTTCACGTTGTTCCACATCGAAAGAAGCCTAGTCTTAACCTTTCCTTCATCGAAGAGATTCCCATAGTCGTCAAGCTTAAGGCTGGACGAACTAGACGGCGAGCTAGATATATCCGAGCGGAAGAAGAAGTGCGACCTCTCCCGGGATGCCAATTGTGCATTCATCTTAAATTGCCCCAATATCTTCATGGACTATGTGACATCTTCAAACCAGTCGTAACTAAAAATACAAAGTTATAAAAGGAACAAACACAAAAGAAGGCACCATTGTTTTTGTTTGCGAGGGGAGGATTTTTACGTACACGGGAACGGCCTAAGCGAACACAAAACAACCTGAACAGTTAAGACACTCTGCGCTGCACTACTGAACTACATGCTCATTCCATAATGAATAACAAAACTTTAAGATAAGAATATCAGAAAAACGTACGCTAATTACGTCACTTTTTTAATCAGCAGAATTTACAAATAACAGCTATTCAATAAGGAAATATTGTCAACCTCGAGATTCCTTATCTGTCACCATTTAAATATACTCAACTGACTCAAATCACAAACAGCAAAATTAAAGTACACGAGCTAGGGTATTGTAACAATAAGTTGGCAACAGTGTCGTAATCACACCAGAAAGCTGTGGCTAGCATACCGCGAATCATTATAAGCCTTGGAGAAAACCAACCTCACCCATTGTATATGTATTACCATGTATTACGTAAAAACAAAAAATCGCAATTTAGATTAAGCTGACACAAATAAAACAAATTTAGGTTTATAGTATACTCAACCCCTGTTCTACGCCAATCACTACAGTGACTCGGAATTAAAATAAAAACGGCAACGTTCCAAAAGCGAACCGGATCCCGCTTAAATTTGAATCAAAGAATGACACATGGTGGATAATCCAAAAGTACAATAAAAGAAGGCGAGCAAAATAAATCTACAATTGCATAATTGGCATTTTGATTAATTATTTTAATAGTCAATAATGTCGAATGAGTAGGGTTACCCAACGTCCCTGTTCTCCTCCAAAGTAAACCGAACAATGAATTGTTGCCCTATCTCCAATATGGGTTGTAGTTGCACTGAATTCTCCTATAATAAGTCTTTGGCCAGTGCATCACAGAAAAACTATTCCTAATTTTCAAAAATAATGGAAAGGCGCTCAAATGAACATTTTTTATTAATAAACTAATGTCCGGAAATACCTAGGTGTCATCAAGTGGCCTATGAAACACAATTATTTTCATTGTGAGATAAATGCGTATGTTTCATTGTCATGTTAGGTAAGTGTTTAGTAGAAAATGCATCATTTTACAAATATTGAGACCGGCGGGGCAGCTTATACGGTTTAAGCTAGCGAAAAAAAACCAGAAATTTCAGTGCCCCCCATCGTTTCTGAAAATTGGGAATATTGATTCTGTGACATCCTGTATAAAAAGTAGATCCTAAGATTTCTTTGTCCTTTTTCTGCTAATAAACATAATAAAAAAAGTTGTCCGGTTATTTCCTCAAACACTACACAACTTGAATGAGCAACAGTGAAAATGTAGCTGTAGCAGTCTGCTCGTACTCGATGACCCGAACTTCTGTCTGCATGAAATATGTTTGTTTTGTCGATTGATTTTGTCCAGGCTCCACCAATTACAGTATAAAAAGTGTATCCTCTGCCCGCTTTAAATTTACCAATTTTTAGCTTCCTGGCCGTTTTTCGAACATGTCACAACAGGCATATTTGAGCAGTGCCCATTTCGTCTCAGAACACAGATTCCGGAATCTTCGCCCACGGAAAATTCGCCACCGCTACGTTTGCTATGTTCATTCTATTTATTTGGATTGGAGTTCAACGTTGTCTTGTATAACAATTATTAAATATTTACGTTTTGTTTAAATTGATCGCCTTGTAATTTGTTAATTTAATTGTAAAAGGTAGAAACATTGTTGGTTTGCGCGTTACATTATAAAGTTCCTCTGGTCAATGCGATAAGAACATTTATTATCGAGTTGCATAAAGTGAAATTTAATTAGTTTCAAGATAAGCACGTGTTACCGCCGATAAGGTATTCACATTTCGTTTTGATTGGCTGTCTCTTTACGAAATCTTAAAGGAGATTTTTAAAGTGGAAGTGAGAACAGCCTCTCCTACCATGGAAAATTCATGTTATATTCGCCACCGCAATCGCTTACCTTGATACCGAATTCATTAAGCATTTTTTTGATTATTATTACATTTAAATTCAATTCAAACGGCAATTAAAGACTCGCATTGCTAGAATAAGTTATTATTTTGAAATTGGAATTATGACACCACAGGTGAACAAGTTCAAACACTAACAAATACTGTGAAACTTAACTTAATGATCACCACATACATAAAAATACCTTTATGTATGAACAAAATAGCTACAACAAAGCTGCCTACTTAATACTGGTATAATGAAATGCATTGTGTGCATGCCAATTGCAAAATGACTAGAAATTGGTAATTTTATCACAATTAAAAATACCACAAAAATAAAAATGGTAACAACCCTAATTCACTTGGGCAGACCTACACCCCATTTGTCTATTTCCATTCGGACGTGGGACCCACGAGGTTCGAGCTCTTTGTTTACTCTTGCTGATGTTGTATAAGTGATAGACCGTTTTCATCTTCGGTCTTACTGGTTTTTCCTTGCTGCAAAACGCCGATACGGCTTTGCGCATGTTATTACCGGTGTACGCAACGCCCCTCATTTGGTATTCGGTCGTATCTTGGTTCCACTGGGTGTTAAGTTCAATCTTTTTCTGCAAAGAAATTAAAATAAAAATTAACAATCGTACCACCAAAATTACCAAATATTCTTTCGGAATGTAATAATCTATCATAACACTGGCCAATTGTATTTCACGAACGGTCAGGCGATTAGTATCGAGTAAGGCTTGCATTTCCCTTTGGTATTCGTGTTCTTTATCGGCGTGTTCTTCTTTGACGTCGTTTAATAAACACTGAACTTTTTTTATCTTCTTTGTTAATGCTATATCTTCCTCCTGTAGACTAGAATATTTTTCCTCTACATCAATTCGTTCGGCCTGTAAAAAAAAGTGGGTGACTATATAAATAAATTACAACAAAGTTGAAATTTTGTGCAACGCTCAACATTCTGGAATTAGTGACGTCATCGCACTCTGTGCCAATTACACCCTGAAATAATTAACTTAGGGATCTCAAATTTTCTGGATTGTCATCTCCATATTATTAACCAAAAAAAATTGAAAAATGAAATGGGCCTATTTACAGAGAAAAACTTATCCACGAAAATTTTGTATTATGGATCCAATACTTACGCCTTTCTTTTCCAGAGCTTCCTTCAGTTGTTGTTGCGATTTATCTAAATTTTCAATTTCCGCAGAAGACGTTTCCAGCAAAAATTGTTGCTGTTGCGCTTTCTCGAATAAGTTTTCTCCACCGACCAAAATTTTCTTCTGTATGACAGTAATCTTTTGAAGCAAATCTGAACGTTCTTTTCTACAAGAGATTGTGTTACAATTAAAATACATACTATTGAGGGGGCGTACTCAGTTTTTACCAACTCTTCGGACACCGATTCGATTTGTGCCTTATCTTTTTCTTTTTTCTTCTAAAAGTAAATGTGAGTAGCATGAATTACTTATAAGTTTGCTTACCAGTTTTATGACTTTTTCTTCAGCGAGAGATATTTGGGCTACTCGTTTTTGAAGTTCGGCAATTTCATGTTCAAAGGCCTCAATTAGACCCTTCTTGGTCTCTACATTAACGCGAACATGATTTTTAATGTATTTAGCACGGCTGGCGTATCGCAATGTGCATATGCTCTCTTCATAGTCAACATCAGATGGACTAACCATAGCAATCTGTGTGAAAATGCAATTCTTTCAAATTATTATTATTCAGAACAATAAAGTGCCAAGTTTCAAAGTTAACAGCCCTTTAGTTTTGAAAACGATTATTTGTCAGTAAATATTACTACTGCCCAACACTAAATTTCCGATTGAATGGAAGAGCAAAATAGCTTCAAGTTCAAGTCTTGTGATTTTTGTTGTTTTAGTGACTTACAAAATTTCTTTAAATATTTGCAGAATAACCTCGTTACTTATTTATTGTAATTGAAGCGTGAAATCCAGGAAAAAGGCAATACATTTGGTATTTCGCGTCATTAAATTTTCAATAAAATTAAGCATCCATGAAGTCAGCCCCTACATACCAAATTATTTACCAAGCACTGTATATATGAACCCAATAAACCATACTTCAAATATTTATTTTATTATTTATATATAATAATAGCCCCGCGTTAAAACAGCTGACGACGTTTTACAGAATATGGACCACTTAATTTAGCCCGGTCCTAACTGAAACGAAGTTCAGAGAAGTAGCAGTACGCCTATTATTACCCCAGGTACTCATTTTTTCAACAAGACTGAGTCGACTTCAAGGAGGAAAAACGCCAAAGGCTGTTTGTGGGCGGTCCCGGGAATCGAACCCGGGACCTTCATGCTGTAAGTCCATAGCACTAACCTAACTCTTCCTCTATTTTTTCATTTATTTTTTCTATTATTTTATTATTTTAATTTTTAATTTTAAATGAGCAGTGTCAGCTAAGGCTGCACACAAAACTTCCAAGATCAAATATAGATTTGACCAAAAGATTCTCTTGCAAGCGGATGCGCACACCTGGTGTTTAAAATATGCAATATAATTACCTTTCCTAGACGAATCTTTGGTTCAAATTTCAAAAAATTTCTTTATAAATAAAAGTTAGCATAGCGCATGCGCATATTTGATGTGTACAATATGCGATATGCTTGCTTTATAAGAAGCATCTGGGGGTATATTTAAAAAAAATTATCTCCATAAAAATCAGTTGACAATGCGCAAATTAATCGTCAAGATTTGTCTTGGCTCGGGTGCTAGAGTTGTAAGCTACCGAATTCAAAAAGAACGAACTAAATATCTTGAAAACTTTAGTAGTTAAGGCCTCAGACGGATGGGCGAGGAAAGTAGCCATAATAGTGCCTTCCAACATGAGTTGGAATATGCGCTAAAAATGATATAGACCTCTACATTTGAGAATTTAAACTATTGCAAACCATCACAATATTGTTACCATATAACTGACACTTCTGATAAGTTCATTGGAACTACACAGAAATTGTAAGGGCTGCCTTATGGATGCAAATTTCCTATATATGACAACTAATGTCTAGAGCGGAAACATAAAAGTACTACCAACTACAATCAAACAGTGAAAAAAGCTATAAATCAGAGTTAACATGGAGCCTACAACATTAAAATTATGTTACCATTGCGGTTTTTGAATTTCCACCCAGAGAGTCCTGAAGCAATCGGGTCAACTTCGAATTCCGATAAGGTATATGACTACTCTTCCCCTCCACAAGAGCGGATATAACGTTACCAAGTACAGACAAGGACTGATTAATATTGCTGGCCTCCTTTAAACGATCACCGGTAGCATGAGTCCTGCTCAGACGTTCCGAACCCTACAATCGCAAGCATTAATAAGTCATTACAAATTTGTGACATACAGCCAAATCGACAAGGTTCAATTTTCCTATCGTTGTTTTATTATCGGCCATATCCTTAGCTTCAATATTGATCGTGAAGATGGCGTGAGAACGCGAACTGACATCGTTCATTAAAGTTGACCTAGTCATTCGATTGGCATTGCCTCTGTTCATTAATTCCGTGATTGATTCAATAGAATCAACGGTAAACCCCATTAAATCTTTCACGTAGACGCCAACATCGGGACGTTCTCGTACTTCCAATTTTGAATTAGGATTTGATGACAAAAGGTCATGTACATCTTCGTTATAAATTTCCAAATATGTCACAGTTACTACAAAGAATCGTTCGCCGCTTGCTCTGCATATTTGAGTAAATATATGCGAAAATGTGTTCGGTATGATGCCTTTCAAATCATTTTGATTAGAAACTCCTGACATTGTGAAGGTTTTCCCAGTACCCGTTTGACCGTAAGCAAAGATTGTACCGTTATATCCTTGGAATGCCTTCTCAACAATAGGCAATGCGATGAGTCTATACAAATCCATCTACAACAGAGCGACATTCGTCATAAGCGATTGCAAGTTGCTACCCGTACCTGCGTACAATCCTCTGGGAAAATGTAATCAAATTTAAACGATTTTGATTTCCCATTTACAGTGTCTGGCTTTGTTAATGTAATCACATTTTCAGAGCGATCTACTACTACAATGTTCTGATGGCCTTTAATTTCTTCCTTTTTGCTTAATGGACGTACTCTAATTACAACACGAACATTTTCTATTTCATCTTGGCGATTGGATTTAGTTTTTGCCATGGCTGGTTACCTGTATAAAATTATATTCTAATAATTATTGAAAAATTTGTAGGCATTGTTCTCTGGAGACAAATAACGGGTAATACCAACTTGCATTGCAGTAGTTGCAATTGCACCTAAACTCCGACGTAACTCGGTGAAAAGCGCACTGCGCACGCGTACTCGCTGGAGTTTGAAAATCAAATCACGATTTTTTATAATGGACAATGGCAGAAAAACGAAATAAGAAGCACGAATAAGTGTTATGTATGTTACGTTATATAAACCCAATAATGAATAATTCTGATTTCTAAACTTGCAATTGGTGTGTGAAAATCGCACTATTTTTTTGTAGCATTGAACTACAAGTTGTGTGAACTACGACGTAGTAGAACTACTAGAGGACTTTTTCTACTATAAAAAAACATGAATAATACTACACCTTTGACATAATAATAAATTCTTATCAATCATTATATGATTTACACTGTATCATTCTGAATAGAGCGATAATGACCGTTTACAATACAAAGTAGCACACTAATAAGTTATCGAACCCTAGAATATGCATATTAAGGAAAGGGGTAGCATTTTTAATAGGGGAAGTAGCAAATTAAATGGGCGCGCTTGGTCAGACCTCATTATTAAGCGGCAGAACAAAGCGATGCAAACTTTATAGGGGAGTTGATGGTGTCCGTCTGTCCGTCTGTCCGCGAACACGATAACTGTCAAACGCTTCGACCGATTTGGTTCAAACTTTACACAGTTGGCCTATATGCCACAAGTAATAAGCTTATTGAAAATGGGTCAAATCCAATGACCCATTGGGGTCACGCCTCTCTGTCTCTGCCAAACGCTTGAACCTATTTAGTTCAAACTTTGCACAGTTGACCTATATTACACATGTAATAAGCCTATTGAAAATGGGTCAAATCCAATGACCCAGTGGGGTTATGATTCTCTGTCCCTGCCAAACGCTTGTACCTATTCGGTTGAAACTTTGCACAGTATACTTTTATACTATATGTAACATGTCTATTGAAAATGGGTCAAATCCGCAATGACCCCTTGGGGTCACGTCTCTCTGTCTCTACCAAACGCTTGAAACTATTTAGTTCAAACTTTGCACAGTTGACCTATATGCAACATGTAACAAGCCAATTGAAAATGGGTCAAATCCAATGACTCCGTGGGGTCACGCCGAGGTACTCTGCCGCTTTTTTAAACGCTCTTTATGGGTTTATTAAAGATGCGATGTCTACTGATGTCTTTTGCGCTCGAGGGTGATGTAAACAAACATTGCGACTGCTGATCCGCGATCATCGCCAATTAATTCAATAACTCACCGAGGGGCATTCAGCCCCGATCTACTGCTACCTCTATTTGAGGAAGGGTTACGCCACGCGTTAGTGAGGATACCCATTTCACCTCGGCCCTCGGTCAATCTAGATCAACCACCGTCGATCTATACCTCGCATTGCCCTCCCCGCGCGAACACCTGCAGGTCAAGCTCATCCCAAACGAGTACGTTTTCCTAAAATATGGTACGATCAACGAAATTTTATTAATTCAGAAAATGCGGAGAAATTTTAGGTGACGTCGCACTGTTGCAATGCTTACGTCTATTTTGGAACTAAACATTTATTTTCACGTTAATTGCATATTATGAACTATTAGGTATCTTTACAAACATAACAAATACGTACGTACCATTATCCCGATTAATTAAAAGTCCAGACCAAAATAACCTATATAAAGCAAATAATTCTGAATTCAAAATTTTTCATATCCGTCGATTGGGGGGCTTGGTATTTCACCCTGGTTGCTCCGCCGGGGATCCACCCCTTCGATCAATCGGACGTTGGTTGGCGATAAATACCATCCATCCTGCGGATGCGTATGTGATTATGGGTCTGATGCAGGTTTTGAATAATATTTTGATGTTTTTTTTATGTTATGTTATGTGTGTCAAATATTAATTCAAGAGGAATTCCAGTGGAGCCTGATGGGATTCGACCTTTCTTTAATTGACTTGACAACCATTCTAATACGCATTCATATCACTACAAACAATTAATTTTGCTATAAAGTTTAATATTAATTTATTGGCTGGTTTTTTTCTAGGTCAGTTCTTTTTTCCCAGCCTATTTTTATATTTGTCCTGGGTAAACTACCATTTTCTAAATTTATTCTTGCAATGTACTTTATTTTGATTAAATTTCTGTGTTTAAAGCTTTACTTCTGTGCCTTACTTGGTCCTCACTTCGACAAGCAACACATAGGTATATAGCGACCGTTAAAAACCGTACGCAGTACATGGTCCTAGCATTTTGTGATTCAGGTTAGATAGCTTTGCCTAGACAATCATGTGCCATGTTAGTTTGGAAGGAGGGAAAGATTTTGATTTTAAATCGTGAATTACACAGTCTCTCGGAGCTGCCCTAGGTACGTTCCAGTATGTAGGTATGTATATGCGTATATTGGCAATTTTCTGAGATAACGACTGGACGGTTTTGTTTAAAATTTTGATATGTATAGTAGGCATACGGAAACGACAAATAACGGGTCGGATTTTTGCAAAAAAATTATGGAGCGCCGCAGCAGCATCGAACTTTTTTTTCAAAGTTCAAAACTAAGATCTCTTTTTCGACAAAACTAATTAACTCTTAATTAATTTACGATTATTAATTATATGTTTCGACGTTGTATGGCCGTTATTTATAAATGTTGGCAGTTTTTCTAAGCTAAACAATTGCAGAATTTTTTTTTAAAAAACGAACACGCAAAAAGGATGCAAACGCGCCGCAGATTTAGGGGATTTGAGCACTCACATTTGGGCACTCTTTTAAAAGATCCTTAAACAATTTTCGCATTATTGACCATAATTAATAACATCCAAATTTGCATTGAATTCTGTAAGAGGTCAACAATTTCCTGTGGGAATTTGAACAATATACCTAGTGTTTAACAATAAAGCGGCGCATACATGTATCAGCAAATTAACATGACTTTTTTGCACCAATGTGAGGGAGCGCGATAGACGTGCAACACCAATGCTTAAACGTCGCCCAACAACACGAACGGTGCAACTGCAGGGGGGGTTTCAATGGTAGTCCGGGTTTTAGGCTACGGAGATATCTATGAGTTTCTGTCAAACCAAGATAAACTTTTAAGGCGCCAATCAGCTTTGGTTACAATTTTTTAAAACACCGAATCCTCATTAAACTTGGGAGTTATTGAACATTGTCTGGTGCTTTTTTTGCATTCCTGCTCATAATGCCAACGTTGAAAGAATATTTTCACTAGTGGCATAACAGTGGACCAAAGAAAGGAATTTTTCCAATACCTACATTGTTTTCTTGAATTTCATCCATAATTTTTGTACATTAACTGGTAATTTTAATCCCTAGAGATTAAAAAAATTTTAATCCCTCATTTTTGTTTTCTTGTAAACAATTCATGGAAAAATGGATTTAAATCGATCGGTATTGGAAAAAATAGTATAAGCAACACTGGATTAAACTAGTTTTTGTTCCCTTAAAGATATTTAAAAAAATATTAAATTTAAACCATTCTCTCAGGAACAAAAACTCTTTTTAATCCCTTGTTCCTTTACACGTTTACACTATTATTGAATTTGAAACAGTCTAGTCAGTGATAAAAATAAAGTAGAATTTCAAAGACTATTTCTTTAGACAATATTTTTTCTAAAATTCAGTTGATATGTCCGGATTTATTATCCCTAAATCCGGGGTTTTCACGCTTCCTGTCCTAGTTGGCAGAGTTTTGAGATGGCAACCCTATATCCTTTGCACAGCGGATTGCTGTACAATGTCTCATTCATGCAAATCCTCTTGTTGTTTTGAACCAACGAATAAAAAATGACACTGTTGGATACTCCATGTCTTAAACTCATCTTAGACTTTTCATTATATCCAATCCACTTATTATTTTTATTATTGGTCATTGAGCAAAATAAATAGTGCAAATCGTCTGTGATTTGTTTCCTGGATTGATTGTTAAACATTTCAGGGGACATATTTAAATTCTGAAAAGTAAACGTGAGTGACTTACCAACTCTCCCTTTCATTGAGTACAGCTGTAAATTAAAAAATCGCTTACAAGTCTTTCTTTACATTTTAATCATACATATTTATGACAAATACAGTTATAAAAAACTTATTAATATTGCAAAAATATATCAACATTGGATAACTAATCTATAATATTGGCAAAAACAATGGTGATGATTCGTTGCAGTGATATGCATATAGCTTTTCTATCATACATTTTAAAAATAATGGATGATAAAGAGAGCTATTTCTAAAATTAGCAATACTTAACCCTAAGGAAGTCTAAGTATATAAAAATATATAAAAATGTACGGAATCAAATATAATGATTAAATACGCTCAATAAATATTGAAATTTATACAAAAAATTATTCAAATCAGTGCTAAATTTTCCGGTTCATGAGAAAAACTTAAAGATGTTCTACATAAAACTCAATTATAAGTTTTTGGAAACTGCCATTTTTTAAATTGGCTTTATCAAGATATAAGCATAAGTCAGGTACGCTTTAAATGTTTTTTGGGCGAGTGGCCAAATTATCTTTAATACTACCCTCTCGCATAATGGAATGCTCAAAATTAGAATAAACCAACTGAAATCCGGGAAAATCTTACATTTTAAAAGTGAAATTAACGTACGCGAATTTCAATTGGTTATCAATCATAACATTAACATATAATATACTTTAAATTAACGAAAATCACAATGTAATATTTTTTCAATAATTCTTATTGCTAAGTCATGGCTGGATCTGGTATGTATGTACAATTTACATTTACAATTAGAGTTCCATAACCCATTCCCTTTGATACATAATCTTGTGTCGCTGTAAGGGTTGTTATAATACCTGTATAAATACAACTGTGAGATCATTGGTGACCATGATTTTTAAAAATCAAATTCGCCATTAATTGGCTTAACGTATACGTTCATTAATTACTTAGTATGGTTTGAAAAAGTTCGATATTGCCGTAATATAAAAATTCGAGCCTAGAATGTAAAATACATTGAATGCTAAAGGTCACAAACTAATTGTAAAACAAAATTGTGACCATCATAAAATCAACTAATAATAACAATAACTTAAAGAAATAAAAGTGTTCGGAAGTTCTAATACGATGACACTTTCTAGATTCTATAAACAAAAAATAAAATTCTACATTCAACACTTTGTTCTTAAAAGATATTCTAGAAACAATCACAACAAACGATAAATGAGTATGTTAGGGCAAAACTTATATAGCAACAAGAGAGTTAATGATCCATCAGTTCTATAAAAGTAATATCAAACAGTTCTTCGTCGACCGCTTTCAGTTCTAGGAGAAAAAGGTCTTCATTGCAATAGTACGCTACCATATCGTCATCAATCTTGGCCGTAATGCTAAAATACGTAATGAGTGAGAACTGTATTGATAATGCGAACGGGTTAGAACATGCAAGGAGTTAGTGCCCCGAAATGTTAATTTAGCTACTTCAAAACTAATAGGTAGGTATATATGCTAACTTACCCTTTTTTGTTTTTGCGATACAAGTTATTTATGCTCGAAGCAGAAATTTTGTACTTATTCTCAATCTGCAAAATAAGGAAAACAGAATTAATTTTCTAACAGCATAGAGCTTTCTGTCTTTCTTAATTTTAGCATAGATTTAGAAGAAGTACTGAGCTTTTGACTACTCAAAAAAAAGTAACATTACGGAGCTAAACAAAAGTGAGTATCACGTCGGTAATGAATATGATGTTAATTCGACATGCTAGTTTAGTTTGTTATAATTGGAATGAAAATGTATAAAAGCCCAGTACATCCAGGTCCATGCACGTTAAGCGGGAAGCCAAGCGTTACAAAGGAATTGAACTTACAGCATTTAGTAATCCAACCGTCGTCGGTGGAACCACGTGCAATGGTGTGTATATGTCCTCCGACTCTTGCCGTACGTACAGCATTACTCGCTCGTTTAAAGGCGGCGGTCCTCCGGATCCGGACACGCTACCAATCACTTTGGCACGTTTCAATGGTGGAGTGAACAATGCTCCATCAGTAGTTAAACTAGTATCCAGAAGGCTGTCTTTCTTTTCAGAATCGGGAGGGAAATGGTTGTGAAATTTCAAAGTGGGTGTCGTCGGTGGTTTGCCGGCGGTATGTAAAAGGAAGGGCGAACCAGATTTTACATGATCGGCAGGTCCACTTAGAGAACTGTCCGTGTCATGTGGATAAAAACCTTGCAGCTCCATTGATGTCAACTAAACACATGTACACATATAAATTACAGTACAGTTTTTAACATGCGTGGCACTACTAAGCTGATTATATACCTAATAATAATCATAAAAATCCTAGGTGACAGCCTAAATAATCTACAGAGGTTTGAGCTATCTGACTAAAAATCAAGAGCATATGCGATTCTAGCAAATCGTCTGGCACCTTTTGGTGAGATTCTGAGTAGGTACCTATTTCCAGACGGGCAAACATAACAATAAAAACAATCATGGAACATAAGCAATATGACACAATTAGGTTTTTAGCGTCTACCTAATGGCCTTATGATTCTAGACCAATTAAAACATATACATAGATAACAATTAAATAGGTGAGGTGAGTGTACTTGGTCTCGAATTTAAAAATACGAAATGCCCTTTCTGCTCATCCAATGCAATAGATTGAATTATATCGTAACTACTTTTGTTTTGAACCAATCTCTGCATTTCATGAATGGTAGGTAATGGTCATTTTCCACAAACGGATCTTTTGGTAATTTGAACGCCTTAGTGGACGATATGAATAGGTATTGAATCAGTACTGAATTTTAGGTAATGGTAAGGTGTGTTACAGTTAGAGGTTGTATGATGTTGATTTAAAATGGGTCAATGTCTTTTATTGATCGAATTACTACACTTATAGTAAATTCAACAATAAACATCATTACACAATAATAATCATTATGTCTTTACAAAAGAATATCCTACATAGTAAGAGAACCTTTGGAATTGCTACGCTAGTGTGTTTTTTAAGATGCGACTTAAAGATTCTAATACACCTATAGGTACTTATATGGACAATTACTGTCAATATCAATATTCAGCCTTGTGATGTATCAGAAGCGTCAAACTTACCGTACAGGTTATCTGCTAAAAAACTTTTTGCGTAATTTTGTATAGGCAAAACCACGTTTTCTACAGAGAACCAGCACTTAAGGTGGCGTTTACAAAAAGTGCAAAAGTTGCCTTGCGATTTCCACAATAACTTTGTTTCGAGGTAAAAAATGAACTTTTGGTTGCTAAAAGTTTAAGCTTGTGAATGAAGTTAAATCTGATAACAAATTATTATCAGTGTGTGATAAAAATGAAAGATATATATTTTATATGGGAGTTTTTTAAGAACTTCTTTCCTAAATAACGGCGAAAGTACAGGAATTAGCTAAATAATTTTTGTTTCATGCAAATGTCGGAACATTATATATTTGAATGAATATTATTTCAACCAAAACTGTATACCCGGAAGGAAGTTATTGTGGAAACAAATTTCCACTTTTTCACCTTAAGTTTAACGGTAGTGGTTGTCTATACACATATATATGCCTCTTGATTTTTTTTTACTAAAGAATCCAATTTTGCATCAGAATGTACGGTCTAAATTTATAGCGCCCTCGGATACGCCTTGTCAGGGTTTTTCTGAGCATGGTGCCACTGTATAAAATTGTAACAAATCCCTGTTAGTTAGACAAACACTATACTGTTGATCAGATCATGATACATATAGGTAATTAATTGCATATCGTCTGCGTAACTATGACATCTGCATGTGCAGGTCACGATGTCGAACCACATGGATGCGCAAAAAAAGTAAAAGCTCTTGGATAGAACGTGGTCTTGGCTTAAAACTATACAGTTCATTCAACCCAATGATAAATAGCATTGGACCATTGAATAAGCACCTTAAAGAAGTATAACGCTCGTGTTAACTGATGAAATAAGAAAATCTGCCCTGGATTCGGTCGTCCCTCTGTTGTGGGGGAAAGTGAACCACAAATTTAAAACTAGTTACCGACTTTGCAGATTTCTTTACTTCTTTAAAATTCCAACGTTGCCAGACTTTTGGCAAGCGCTTTGAGTTTGAATAAACTAGATTAAAATATTGAATAAGCTTTTATTCAATGCCAATAACAATATTATGTAAGGGAGGATCAATCTGAAATGTAAGATCATAAGGAACAATAAATAAAGTAAAAAATGTAGTTTTAAGGAAACAACAAGAACTGTTCTAAGGACCATTATCTTTACATAATAAATAAACAATCAAACTTTACCTAGCTCCATATAAGGATCTGGTAAATATGACAACACTGTTCAACTCTGTTAAACAAGGAAAACAAAGGCCCCTAAGTATAACTGGTTTTCCTGTTTAAAATAGTCATTATTTACCGCCCGAGGCCAAATATCCCTCAATATTTGTGGTAATTAACCACTTTGCAGTGTATGCAACACATCTTACACCAAGTTCAGGTTTTCCTATGTAGTTCTTTAAAGTGCTTATTCAATGATTGGACCAAAATGTGGCACACCTGATCCGTCACTTTTTATATTTTCAGAATTATATTCTCAACCATCTATATCAACATAACACTTATGTTACATGACCCAGGGGCGGTTTTATACATCCATTCAGGGGGGGGGGGGGGGCGAAAATAAAAAGCTACACAATTGCAGATGCAGAGGTGCGCGGGAATTTTTTTTAAGTAGCTTATTGACCCAATTTTAGCTGTTTTTTTTTGTTAAACTATATATTGCCGCATTAATTTCCGAATGCTGACGAAGGACAGAAAAAATACGAGAGGCGATAATGATAGTGCTAAAGTACAGTCGTGAGTCGCAGTCTGGACAATACACGATTCCGCCCCCGCCGACATTATTTTGTGTACCTATTTTATTTAATTTTACTTTTCAGTCAGGTGGTTTGTGGTTAGGTCTATTTAATTCGATTGTTATGTAAACTTAATGAATTAAAAAAAACAATTGAGCAGTATGTTTAGGGGGGGGGGGGGGGGAGCGATCGCCCCTGTCGCCACCCCTAAAAACCGCCCCTGACATGACCAAATGAAAAACTCCTTAAAGTAAAAAAGCTCAATGACACATCGCAGCCCCGTGAAGTTAATATTTAACTGGGAAGAAAGTTGGCAAACGTCTTTTTTCCCTTATTTGATGGTTTTGTCCGTCTGTCTGTCCGTCTGTTCCTCGTCTAACTCAAGAACGAAAAGAAACAGTGATGTCAAACTTTCGCCAATCGATTTCTACGAGTTCAAGAATCAGTTCTGTTGAATATGAGCCGGAATGAAAGTCTGGGTTTCCGAACGAGCTGAGTGGCAAAAAATTCCCCTTACTGAAAATTGTTTGCGATTCTTCGTATCTTGTTTCTATTGGATGCGAACAAAAAGGAGGGAACGCATTAGGCCGGGTGTCGGCAACCTGTTGAAACGGAAGAGCCAAAAGTTACAATTTATAAAATTTCCCAATTGCAAGTCTTGTTCTGGGCTATGCTCCGATTCTTTCAAAAGAATCTCGAGTACGGGAACGTCTAGTACGCGCGCTTTTGTGTAGTTTATAATCGCGAAATAAATCGTTGACATCCGTACACTGACGCTGTTAGTATTTATACTCGTTTTTGTGATTGCTGAATTGCTGTGTGTGCTGTTTCACAGTGTTGCATAGAATTACCTCTATGCAGTGTTGTAACGGAGAATGAAAAATCGTCCATTAACAATTTTTTGGATACAATCTGGAATTCACCCCCCTACTTCTATTAATTGGATGAAATCAAAATCAGGCGTTCCTTGTTATTTGGCGCCTTTCTTCCTCTTCACACGATTTCCAAAAGGGACAGACTTTGTTAACACCGTGATCAGATCAGCTCGGTACCTATTCGACCGGACCGCGACCGTCTAATGCGTCCCTTCTTTTAGAGTTCAGTATTGGTCTCCATACTACATGACGGAGCCGTAACGTCAACCCTAAGAGTATTACTTGAATATCTGACAAATACTAATCTAGAGATTCACAATCAGGGCAGCGAACCCGCTTTTGTAACTACCCAAAGCCAAACTGTGATTAATCTCAGTCTGGCATCGTCAATAAGTATCTCTGACCACATAACGAACTGGCAAGTCACTCCAGAAACGAATATCTTACATCATAGAATAATGTCATTTGAAATTAACTGCAAGGGAGCCGTTCGAAAAGAGCTGTCGCAACCCCAAAGCTAACGGATATTCCCCTTTACAAACATCTCTTTGGAGAGAAACTCACTCTTTTGGGGTCCTGCCTGCCGAGTTACAGGACAAAGTAGATCTTCTTACCAACTCCATTGTGGAGTCATGTGAACAGAGGCATGTCTTCTGAGGAATGCCAAGACGCCCTATAACCGCAGAGTGCTCGAAAAGCAGAAAACTCAGTTGGGCTAACTGCCCAATAGGGAAAAGAAGAGCAAAGCTGCCTAAGGTGATATAAGACAGATATTAAGAGGCGTCAGAGAGAGGCATTGCAACTCTATCGAATCCACCTCTTCTGCATTCCGCCAAATAAAATTATAACAAAAGGTTCATATTTTATAATCCAGCTAGCCTCGGACGAGAGAATAGTGCCTACACGGGCAACCTCTCAGACACAGCCGAAGTAGGTACTGAGAGACGCCCACTTTCCCAGGAATGACTGGGCAGTTGCCAGTCAGATGCGGTGAATGTGGTGAGGGTGGCCTGAGCGCTGAAATCGTTCTCAGCATACAAATCATGAGGATTGGACGGCATAATACCATCCCTCCTGCAATGGGGACTGGATGTTATTGTCATCCACCTAGTGAGAATATATACGGGCTGTATCAAGGACGTACAGTGCGCCGAAACAATCTTTTGATGCTGTATATCGCCGACTAGGGAGACTATGCCGACGGACACTACTACAATAGTACAAGGGACACTAAGCCGACAACGCCGACTATTCGAAGAAACTGTAATATGGACACAACGCCGACCGTAACGTCGTAGGGCGGATTGACAGATCGCTGAACTATAAAGGGCTATAAGGAGCTTCCGACAAAACAACCTTCGAAACAATAGAAATGGCTTTACGCCACCATAGCGTAACGAAAGTCGTACGAGGCTGGATTGCGCAGCTGCTGAATCTCAGAGCAGCGTTGGCGACAAAATACTAAGGTGCACAGTAGTGAGAGGATGCCCCCAAAGTGGGGTGCTACCATCACTTGAGAACTTAACTGTAAACAGCCTCCTCTGTCGCCTCAATGACAGTGGCTAGTATACGCTGAGGTATTCGGATGATATATCTATACTAATAAACGGCAAATTTGAAGCTTACTCTATGCCGACTGATGCAATCAGCTCTACCTAAATAATGGTGAAGAGAACACCTTCAAACTGCCCTGCTATTCCAAACACACCTCCAATTTTCAGAGCCAGTGAAGTATCTACGAATCACACTTGACAAAAAACTGAATTGGAGAAAACATATCCGTCTCGAAGGCGAAAAACCAAATAATCCTTATTGGCAAAGTCACCGCGCAATTGGGAGACTTTGGAGGCCATCCACTCCCGTGATAAGACCTATGTTCTGCTATGGAGGAATTGCCTGGTGGCCTAGAGACACGTGAGACAGCAGGCCACTCTAGCATCCTTGGGTCTCAAAAATAAGGGGCTGTGGAATTAGCAATTGGACTCACTCACTTCTCAAATCATATTAGGGAAAAACTATCACATCTTTCTTGATGAGGATGTGGCATCCCAACCAGACATATTCATCTTCACTCAAGCATAGGTCTAAAACAATTGAAGGAACAGGCAGTGGTATTTACTCCACAAAACTGAAATTCCATATCACCCAACCCCTAGGTAAACTTCCTGTTGTATTCCAATCGGAGTTGGTAGGTGCGTAACATAAGAACAAAACTACCAGAATCTCCACTGACAGCCGGGCTGTCCTGCAGTCACTTGTTCACTGTAAAATTACCTCTAGGTTGGTTTCCGAATGTCACCACGCGCTAGAGTAAGGTTGCTCAGTACTGAACCCCATGCCCGCAGCCCCGTCCAGCCAAATTTTAAAATTCCCGCCAAGTTGAAAAAGTTCTGCTTACCGCGGTTACGTAATCGACTGCCCCGCCGTCACCGCGCTCGTCTCATAACGCCGAGACACAATAGACTCTATTGTCTTAATTCTCAAACGTACCTAACGCACCTTCGCACCTCCATATGCAGTGGACATACAGTGCGGTGAAAAACAAGATTGCTCTTGATCCTCACCAGGATGTTACATACACTACGAGACGGCACACCACATACTTTGTGAATGTCCCGTTCTAGTGCAACAGAGACGATCCATGTTGGGGGTACCCTGGCCGGACATGCCTATACGATTAGAGCCACCTCTCCTTCCAGCATCCTTAGGTTCATTTCACGTGTGGGATGGCTTGAGTGACGTGGAGGGGTGGGACGACTCTAGTCAGGGAGGTAGTAAAAAAAGACCCGAATTTGAGGCCTAGGTACGCGTGGACCCCGTCCACCTCCTATCATAATCCAGAATTCAGATGTAGGTACTGGTTTTTGAATTCTTGAACAATTCGCTCTTGAACGACAGGTAATGAGAACGTAAGAACGTTTGCTGGTCTTGCCCAAACGCTAAATTACTCGTATATTTCAAAAAATGAAGCCCATATTACATTTAACTGCAATGTTGATGAGTCACAGATTGTATTTATTATAAATACAATGGTTATATGGAACCAATTAGAAAATATCATAGGACAAAGTACTAAATTTCTTGTTTGTTGTCTAACATGACGTTGGCATGTTTTATACAAAAATGCATATTCTATTACCAGTTAGTGTTGTCTAAAAATCACCTAGTTGCATTAAAACTTCCTTTATATTAATATTTTCTTCGTAAAAATGACCTTATTATACCTACTGTTTATCAATGCAGAATTTAAGAACACGCTAGGTAGGCATTCCGATTATTTTTGAATTTAAATGTCATTAAACACCATCCCCAAAAGGAGATACCTACATGCTGTTATCAGTTTGATATTTTAAAGCTATTTTGTGATTCAAAAGACCTACACTTGTGAGTAGGTATAGTCAAAGCCTACACTATTTTATATAATAAGACATAAATTGGCATTTTCTGGGGTGTAACGCATAAATGACTTTTACGCAGATCATTATGTTTTCAGTTTTACCTAACTATGATGAAAGTATTAGGCATTTACCTTATCGATATCCTCTGCGGGAGTAAATAGAACTGGCGGTTTTGTTAAATCACTCATGGAGTAAAATTCGGACCTATCGCAGACTGGATGGTACAGTTCGTCGAGTTTTTTACGTCCCGTCGCCGTCATTTTTCGTTTCGCGGCCCTCCTTTCTTCGTCTCTTGTTTTGCGTTCGGCTCCCTGTCGAGTGTAAACACAAATTAGTTACCAAAAAACGACAACTCTACGTCAAAATCTTCTTTTACCTTATCACAAAACACTTTTATTTGGCAGTAGGCTCGGTGATTCACCGTTGGTTCTCTATGGTCTTCGTATGTGTCGATTTGTAGGTGTAAAGGAAGTCCCTACACAAGACAGTTTAAGCAAGTTCCCGTGAGACATAATAAAGATAAATTACCTTCACTCCTTTTTGACTACTGAAGTCCGTACTTAAACACTGAACAGCAACATTGATCTAGAAAGGTGTGCATTACAGAAATATGGTTAAAATAGAATTACCATTACCTTTGCAGGACTATCTAGTGGGTTCCAATAAACCGCGATGGCATTGTGTGCAATTTCTTCGATACATCCCACCAGTCCCACACTATTTTTTGTGTCTGCAAGGAAAATTGCAATTAATCGTAAGATAATCACGAGACACTTGCATGTAAACTAAACTCACCTATCCTGTACTAATATAGCAGCATGGAAAATTAAAAAAATGTGAATCCACCTTATGACAGGCCCTAATAGTGGAAGAATTTTGGCGTTAGGCATACACTTTGGTGGGTTGTAAACTTGTAACTCAGAAAGTACCTACTAGGAGGTGTTGGAGCTTTACAAAAATATGCAAAGATAACTTTATTTTAAAAAAAAAGCTGACTAATAAATAGAAATGCGTTTAACTACAGAGGTGATGATAAAATTTATGCTCTAAATTACGTGACAATGAAATGTATTTAAATTTAGTAAACTGAAGGATGTCATAAAACATTCCTACGCAAAAACCGACGAACGAACTGAAATGGTAGGTATCTATACATCCTACGTGATACCTACGCAAGCTACCAAAAACGTAATAAATTATAAATCAAACAAAATGAATTTTCAGGGTTGAAAAATGCTTCAATCAGTATAATATGTTTAAGCACAAAAATGTGCGCGACGTCAGTGAGGATGTTAGCGTATCTGTGTGAAATCATGTAGGTGTTTAACCTTTCTTCTTTTATTGTTGTTTTACAACTAACATATTATCAATTTATATTTAAATGAATTTGCATTTATACAAACATATAAAATAACCATCGTATAAAATGTTAGAAATGGACGTAAAATGTATGCAGTGTAGTGTAATTTCATTCCTAGGATTATCATCAGTTAAATTTAACTTTTTACTGTCAGAATCATTGGCATTTACAATCTTTTCGAAACCCGCAATGATATAATCATATTTCCAAGAAGTAAAACTGTCATGGTATGATCCGCCACAGTATAAGGTACCGTTTTGTTGGAAATTCCGAAACGCACCTGCTAATTTATTTAATAATTAATTAAAATAAACACACACGATAATCTCGAAACAATTACACAAAAGTTAGATTGTTGCCCATATAAGAAGAAATAGGATGATACACAGTCAAAATGTAGATTTGTAATCCAAAAATACAGACAGATACACTCAACTATCTCAGGCCGAGTTATTTTCGATTAAGTACTAGAAAAAAATGCAATCCCATATTACTTACCGGCATCCAATATTCTTTGTTTGACAGAATGCTGCCGTCCATGCCAAAACTGCCATGCCTTTATTTCATCATCCGGACTCTTCTCCTCTCTAAACATCAGCATAACAATACTCTGAAAGGAAAAAAAAATTTAAACCATCGACCGGATTTGTAAATCCAGATATAATCGATTTAAAATAAATAGCGCATCTAAAATTCCAACAGTCCATCAAATTTAATTGGAACTGAGACAAAAACAACTGCGATACTTAATCTTTTCGAGAAAATAACAGAATATAAATTTACTTCAAGGTTACCTTAATTAGCTATTAAAGTGGTTAGTTTAAATGATATCATTTGCGCAAGGGTTCATTACAGAAATTTATGTAAAATTAATAAAGGCAAATGGTATGTGAACCTTTAATTAAGGTATAGGCGTTGGATCACATCTTAAGATAGAGATCTCCACCACATCAACACGCCGGGATGTTTTAATAAATCACAGAAAAAGAGCTCACCCAAAAAAAACCATATGGCAAAAGTGGAAACACGAGGTAGAATTGTTAACTTACAAAAAAAATTCGTCTGGAAAGTATATAGGGGACCCTCCGCCTTTCCAAGATATTGAACATAAGCCAAAGGTGCCGTACTAGGTGAAAATCTGATCGATTCAATCAACGCTTTTCTGGAACACTTGGGCAAAACTGCTTTCATTTGTTTTTGTATAATGCATACTCTGCATACTCGATCTATCCATTCGTAACATTTAAAGTAGTAGGTACATACTTTGATTTTTGAATTTCAATTTTCTATGTGCACTATCCACCAGGGTAGGTAATAAATTCTGATGTATCAGAAAAGTCTGAATCTTAAGGCAGTAGGAAAATTTCTTTGACAGCGAAAAATCGTTCATAATTACGTCAAATTTGCTTTGATTTTCGTTGACCATGATTAACTACCTAAATACATTCGTTCTGATGAACATGTAGGTACGGATTGGGAACCACTGGTCTAATACAAGTGGTTTTCCGATTTGTAGCAAGTACACTTAATTTAATTAGTACAAGTGCCCAGATGATTTAGCAGTATAAATCAATGTCAATTCGTTCAAAACATTCAAGTGGCATTATTCAATCGGTTTGCAACAAAGATCAAAACTTTGGACAACTGCTGATTCCAGGTTTTTCTGATATAAGGTTGATAGCCATTTGCAGATACAGGAGTAGAGTTTTGAGAAATCGGCCATGGCATCTGTTGGAGGTAGGGTATTTTTTTTATTTTGTCTTTATTTTTGAGTGGGCGGGGTTTCAGCCAAGGCTGCTCTACCAACCCAATCACTATACATTTACAAATATCCATGCCCGAACTCGGATTCGAACCAGGGACCCTTAGTACCACAGTCCAGCTTCAACTAAACTGCGCCACACAAGCCGGCATATATTGGGGGGCAACCTGAACGCCCAGTGATGTATTGAAAATCTGATAGACGCACAATGGAATTTGAATATGTAAATAGTAATTACCTACGGTACCATTTCTACGTACGCAGTGGCAGAGAGGTGAAAACAGAAGGATCTTTGATGGAGCTTAAAAATCTCGCCAATTCATTCTGTGAGGTCATGGCATTATTTGATCCTTGTCATGACTTATCAGAGATTCGAACTCGGAACCCGTGTGTGTACAGTCAATATTGTCAATCCAAGTGAGCCACACAGATCGGCAAATGATATGAAATTTGACCCCTTTCAATGCAAATTTGGAGTGTTCGAGTATTTTCCGGTAACTGATTTAGAAGGTGTTGCAAGTTTTAATTGGATCACCTTGTATATTTAGCGTAAGTGTAACAAGATTAAACTGAAAACGCAAGAATGCATCGAAAGATATAGAAAGGGGTTGGAAGAGACCCTGCGAAACATAACTGAGAATGAAAACATGGAACGATCGGGACTACAAGAAAAAGACACAGACTGGTTCGATGGGGAATCCAGAAAAACTATTAAAACGCGAAACAATGACAGGATGGAGATGATAACTAGGAATATCCAAGAAAACAAGAGAAGATACGAAGACATCAGAAAGGAAACAAAAAAGATTTGGTGTACGAACCATGGTCTTTTATATGAAGTTTTTTTTATTAGCGAGTGCTAGTGAGAGAAAGAGAATGGAAGAAGAAATACAAACATTAGAGGAAAACTTCATGAATAAGGACATTAGAATTTTTCCCAAGAAGCAAAAAATGAGAAAATAAGAAAAATGCGATACTTCCATACTGCAGAGACAAAGAAGGAACCCAGATAGCACCAAACGTTAGAAAGACGTTCTCTTTAAGTCCAAATAATGCCAAAACATCCCGGAACTTAAAATGTACGTTCAGTGGACGTTTTTCTTTACAAATCCCCGGAACGTACAGCTCAATCGTCCACAGATCGTTCAGAATAGGTATCCACGCCATTCTAATAAGTAATTTTCATGTAGGTATAAATATTGAAAAACCACCAAAAATATGATATAAATTAATTAATATTTTAAGTAGGAGCCTATGTATAATTTACTATACATGTGTCATAAGGATGTTAAAAATAAAGTTACACTATTATTGCAAAGTATTTTTAAACCGCTTAAGTAATGTTCCAATGGGCGTTCAAAAATGTTCACTGAATGTCTTTAACACATCCTTATGAACGTCCATGTATCGTTTCTTAAGACTGTTATGTGAACAACCAAACTTGTGCCATTTGGCCATTAAAAGCACGTTCCAGGAACACCCACAGTACATTGAAGAGATGGCTCCAGAACGCATCAATGCACACCTGCAAATGTTCTGAGAACGTTTAAAGTACATGCTGGTGCTATCTGGGAAACCTGGTGGGCGACACAGAAGGAAGTCTGAGCAGATGGGAGGAAAGCTTTAGAGAAATCCTAAGGCGGAACACGAACGAGAAGGAAGAGAAGATGAGGAAGAAGGATGTATACTAAGGCCACAGAAGAGGAAGTGAATAAAATAAACCACTTGAAGAACAATAAGAGCCCAGGAGGGAACGAAGTGATAGCGGAATTGCTGAAGCTTAGACGCGAAACTACTGTGCCCAATACATAAGACAGAAGATGTACCAGATGGTAGGGAGTGAAATGTGGTTTCTTACCCAAACAGAACAACAAAATCTGAAAATATGGGAAAGCAAAGTACTGAGAAGAATATTTAAAGGCAAGAACGTAGAAGATAGGTGGGAAAGGAGAACAAATGAAGAGATGATGGTCTTGTAAACTGAATCCAAGTGGTGGTGTAATTGAAGTGTATCTTGACTAATAAAAATTAAGTTAGAGCATTGAATAAAAAATTATTCAATGGTTAGAGTATAACTTCATGCACCTAATTTTATTATTAATCTTTGTATAAATCAATAGGCGTCTGTACCTATTGGTTGATCTTTTCAAAATAATGTAACTTCACTTGCGTACAATGGAAAAAGGACAAAAAAGGATGTATAATGTATGTGTCGCAGCCTTCTTTGAAAATGAACTAGACGAGATGATTTCCCATATAAGCCGACGGAAATTGCGATTATGATTACTCGCTGTATATGTGAAGTCAACATCCGTTTCAATCGAGTAATTATTTTTGTAATTAATGACTTATCTAAACTGGCAAAATAATGATTGCCAGATATTTAGCAGACAATTTACAAAAACTTTATCTCGCGGCATTTATAGTCATTATCACGGTCATTAACAGATCACTTTTACTAAAAAAGGAAAAAGGGCATGCGATATTTATGGCGCTATAGGCATAAAAGCATTTAAATACTTTAATAAGGATAGGCCGGTACAAAGCTTTTTACTCAATAATAAGTACGCATATTTAAGATGTTTTATTTCAATTTTTCCTTTTCAGGTTTTGCGTTCGTCATTAAAATAGTAAAATACGGACGGGGGAAAAATGTCCACATTCCAAATGAGGGGTGTCAAAGGCAAAACCTTCCAAACAAAAATGATACGTACAAAAAGGAAAAGAACAGAAGCATTGAGAATGTCTTTATGCTTACCGCCGAATGAAAAATGTTTTGCAATGCTCACGTGGATTATTAATTATAATATACAAGTGTCAACAGTCAGGGACAAATGCAATTTAATATTTCTTTTTAAATAAATTACACTATGCGTTTGCTATTAGTTAATTAGGACGCGCAATAACACATAATGAAGTATAATAAACAATACAGGTTGCTAGAAAAAGCGAGACACATCGTCTTCAAGTAGGTATTATTAAATAAAACACTTATGAAGTGATAATTACGTATGTTTTTTTAAATGCCCCTAGAGCAATAATTAAGTACACTTTCGTTCTAGAGTTAAAGAAAATTGTTTGGTTGGGTGTAGAAGAAAAATGCTTCTTGTAATACAGACTCGAGGATACTCCCTGCCTTCTGTCAATCAAGTATCCCAGTATTTTGATATCCACCGTCAATTACTCTCAAGATAAATTAAATGATGCAGTTATTAACTGACCCTATTATGGTATAGATTCCATACGGCTATGACAAATGTGATAAGTATAATAAGCTGGGAGGCAATCACGTATTACACTCGCTCATTAACCGCTGACCAGGGGAATTACCTGTAATTACACCAATTAATAGTACAGTTTATATGCGTCTGTTAATTATTAGTAATCACACTACTTATTATGGTATGTGATATTCTCGGAGTAAATTAAGAAGATGAGTTGCTAACGCACGTCTCCAACTCCCAAGCAAGTCAATATGCAATTGCTTTCAGTTGTGATTTATAAGCCATTCTTTTTTACTGGACGGTGATTTAGTTTCTCTTGTTAATTGTGATTACGACAACAGGACGCTTAAATTATGCGCCATTTACGTCTAAAATATAACTTTATTTAAAACTAATCTCTAAATTTATTGGAATTTTGGACATTTTATAATGAAACCCTGTGTAATTAATTCGATCGGCTTACATAATAATTTATTTATGCCCCGTTTATTTTACATACCCACGCAATTAAAAAATTTATTTGTTGATAATTTTTGTAATTAAAATACCTAACATGGACGATAATTTGAATAAACCGATGCTTGAATGGTATAAAAATTCGTAGGTGGATCCTTTTTGGGAATTTATTAAATTGTCAAACATTTAATTAAATAAATAAAGCGATCAATAAAAACGTTAACGTCTTCCTATAACATGTACCAATAATGAAAGTGTTTTAAAATCATTTATGGCAATATACCTATTAATGAGAAATTAATACGTTAGAGCTAATTACCCAAGCCGCTAATGAAATTTGCAATATTTGATTAGATATCCTACTAATGTGCATGCAGCATTAACTGCGAGATCTAATTAATTCAATTACTGCGCATTTCATGGGAATTTTGATCGTGTGTCAATCTATAAGGCGCCAATGGTTATAAAAACATAAAACAACAGCGCGCAAATTTACATATACAACTATACACCCTAAAACCTCGTAATTCTAAATTTCTGGTACATATAAGAGCCGCTTTGGTGTTTTAATGCGAAAGGTAGTTGGGACTGGTGCTTCTCTTCCTGTAAACGGACTAATTTCATTTTTTACTGTTATTTTAGAACATACCTATAATACAAATTTATTTAAAAACGAGATATGAAATCCGTAAGGAAAATCAGGAGTTTACCTAGTTTTCAAATTTAGAATTCTTTGGAAAATACGATTGCATATGTGGATGTCGTGTTTTTATTAACGATTGTTGATTCCGCTTACGCTTTCTCCCAATCGTCCGATTGCTCGATGGCTTCATGTCCATCGCTTTAAAAGAAAACGGATGGACCGATTACGATGAAATTTTGCAGGTGGATTCTTTATCAAATTTGTAGATCGAAGTTCGTGAATTGACAAGGCCAAAAGGTTTTTTTGACATATCCGTTAGTTATGCTTATGAACCGAATTTCATGAAATTTTGTATGTCCACACCATCAATTTCTTCAATTTTTTTCATTCAGATGCTACAGACTTTTTCGATTCTTAAATTGCATTTGTTTTTAATTCATTCAGTTTCTGAAGAAATTAGATTCCTTGAAGATTCATCACTCTTCGAATTCTTTCAATTCTTCTAACGATTGGTCGAATTCTTTCGGTTCTTCAAATTGTTATGAGCCTTCAAATGCTTTTGGTAGTTTGATTATTCACCAAAATTTTAAAGTGTTCGCATTATATTCGGATTCTTCCGTTTCTTTTAGGGATGGCTTCGAGCTGAGCCGAACTGAATTTTTCGAAAACCCATAGCTCGGCTCGAAATTATGGATGCCCAGCTCGGCTCGAAACTCGGGTTGAAAAAAATAATTTCGGTTCGACTCGCAACTCTGCTCGAAACTTTAGATAATAGTAGAAAAAGTCATTTTGCCTAGCGGGGGCCATTGGAACTGTTTTTTATTGTCCGACATATCACACTGCTTTGGATAATTTTGGCGCTCTTATCTTTTAGGTGACTTAAATGCCAGAAACCATAGAAACTAGAGAGAATCTGATCATCCTCTCCTCTAACAATCAAGTGGACGCTTTGGTCTGGAAACAATCAAAATCAAATAGATACAGATCAGGTTGTCCGGGGTTCCAACTTTATGAAAAAGTCACTGATACAAACAGACCGTTTGGCTGTTAGAGGGGCCGTTTGGTTGAATTTAACCTCAAACATCTCTGATGACTTTTTTTGTTATAAAGATAATTGATTGTTGAAATAACCTCGTCAAATCAGTTCTCAGTAGAATTTGTAATGCTTGTAAATGGGTGGTCGCATTAGATTTAAAAAAGTTTATTTTTCCGAATATTTGTATTTTGTTCAGCATAAGAAAACACATGTACCGCTTCATAGCGAACTGAAGAAAGGTAAGTCTGGCGATAATGAGATCGTTTAGATAAAAGTTAGGTAAGGTAGATAAAATGTTGGATGTTGGAGGACTTTCTAAGAGTTGGGCATTGTATGCGTGAGATTTTTATTTATTTTCCCATTTTTAAGCTTCGTGAGCGGTCAAGTATTACGTTGGGTACGCGGGATTTAAATTCCTAGTGATGTTACGGGGGCGAGGTTTTAACAATTTTGGAGCGATCAAGTATAAATATCCTCCCGTAGGTGTGAATATTGGTGTGCAATTTCAAGAACAAGAACGGGCATTTTATTGAATGAAATCTATCCTAATAGAAGTAAAGAATTATCGATTCAACTTCTGGTAAAAAACATATCAAGTGTCGTGACCTCGTAAAATTCGAGTCTGCGACGAATTGCTAGGAAATAGTTTAGAGACGATTAATTTGTGCATCTCGCTCACAGCAACGCCAAATTAATAAACGAGCAAATTTAACCCGGCGGAATATTGCTTAATTACGATTTCGAGTATTACTTTCTCGCATTTTAAGTCGGTTTGTTCGGATTCATTTTTGTTTTGCGTTACTCACGGACTTAGCTGTACCATACAGAAGCCATCTGTTCCCATATTTCAAAGGGGAGCGGACCAAGACCAAATAATAATAATAATATTTATTAAATAGATAATATAAAACAAAAAGGAGAGCTTCCAAACTAAAATAATCACTAAAATACAATATTCTATTTAAAAGGGACAAGATATTGGCAAGCCGGTTTGCAATCTCGCCCTGAAATGTAACCTGAAAAGAATCTCATCCCAGTCAATTACTGTAAGTTATTTTATATTTTTTCATTGTATAAAGTGGTCGATTATTTTCAGGAATTTGCATATTAATTTTGTTTGAAGTAATTTTGGTTTTCTTATAGGAATCGACCCATGCGAATTATCTGCGCATGAACAGATTTGTAGGTATTACATTTATTGATAAAAATCGAAGATTTTGGTTATTATGCTTCATTGATTGGAGAAATTGCATACCATTCCTTTGGTTGGATTAAAATTTCGTTTAGCGTTCAGAAGTGCATATATTTTTACCAGGAATGTACCAGTAATTCCTTATGTGGTAAAAATAAAATATTCAGATACGGATCAAATTTATCACGGACATGTGATCATGACATAGGCATTGCATTTTTTCTATTTCTGTTTATGACAAACCAATATTTTGTATCCAGGAAAGTGTAAAGAAAAAAGGAACTTGACCGCCTTTGCTTTTATTAATATTACTAAAGTCATATGTGTATTTATTGGAGTTCAATCAAACCAGAGCATTAGATTTTGAATTTCAGTTTTTAAAAGGAGATACAGGACCAAACCAAGTACAGATTCAAATTGATATATGAAATATTTGCGAATTACCCCAAAATTGTTTGGGATATAAATTATTTTATTTAATTTGGTTGTAACATCAATTTCTTTTAAATTAAAGCAGATGTTTGTTCGCCGATGCAGATGGTCTTTGATGAATCAAATACTTTAGTCCGTATATTTCGGAATGTCACAAATGGAACTCACTGCAATACTCAATAACCTACACAATCTTAACAAAGCATAGGGGTTATTTTTGTCCAAAATGAACATCTTGGATTCATTTATTTCTTATGACAAATATTACAATCTTGAAAAGATATGTTGGACTCAAGAACGTTGCCCCTTTCCCTCTCAACAGAGCTAAATAATGATGTTAATGTTGCAATAACCCTTTCGAACATATCAGTCCAGAAATTAATTAATCAATTATAGTCAAATTTTGCTAAACAACTTGTGCCATACAGTTTTGTAAAATCCCCGCGTGAAAAAATTCTGAATTTACACAAAAGCATCAGCTTTAGTATCAAAAATCCCTTTCGGCTGGACCGATCAGGTGTAGGGAAGATATCTTTCCGCCATTTTGCTCCAATTCACAAACTTGACCGGGATATTTATAAGTTGCATCAACGATCAACCCTTAAAGTTTGATCGAAATTAGTTCATAATTACGAAAGCTAGAGTGTTTCTTGGAAGTGATGGTACCATTACAATAGGTAGATAGATAGAAATCTTCGGTTACATGCCTTTAGACAGCAAAAATTATGGCAAAAAATTTCTATCGTTGCTAATTAATTGCCATTGATAGTTTTAAGCATCCAATTATTGTTGACAGCGCTAACAATTTTATTGCTGCTAACTAATCAATCTATCAGTCAATCTATTTGAAAAATGATTGCTATTGTTTCCAAGGTATCGTTTATCCAGATGGAGACGACTGACAAAAACTATTACGAATTCAAAAAGTGGGAACCCATAGTTATAAAGTTCTGATGCTCAATATTTTTTTAATAAACGACACAATCCAGTGCGCTAATACAACAAAGAATAAAAAAAATCTTACCTTGACGGTTTGTGATTTAAGTTGTTTGTCGGGATCTGGAAGATATTCTAAGGTTATTCCATAAAATTGTCCTTTATTTATGTAAGTAATACGATCGTCTTCACGCCTTTGCGATGTTGATATCGGCGTTTCTAGGAAGTATTTAAAACCATACGGCAAAAATCTGAAAATAAAGGTGTCTTGTAGTTAATTTTGACAGCCGGTCATAAAAGTACTTCAATTATTGCCTAGGCACATGTTGAAATTGAACTGGTTTTCTAACGAGTTACATGACAATTAGGAATGCGAAGGGACATATTGTTAATGGGCTCTTTCAGTTGGTACCCTACGACTGGACACGTAGCAAAACGGGTCTAATGTCGCCAGAAAGAAAATTTAATAAGCTGGAGTGACATTTAACGAAATTTCGACCTCGTGAAAGACCATGGAAGTAAAACGTTTGTTGAGCGAACTTTTTTTCTTTTGCGCTGTATGACATAAGGTACTTGTATCAAGTGACACTAGCAATCGAGTTTGTCCGGTTCATGGCAGTGGACTACCTATATTCCGAGGTCAAAAAATTCATGTACCCTGTCCGTTTTATTTTCCTGCTTTGTATGTGTAACCAGTGGCAATGTCCGTACTTCCGAGAATTGACCAAAAATGTTCTCATTTATATTTACTGGAAACATTACGACGGGCAGTTATCACGTATATGTGAATTGCGATGGCGACAAGACATGGATTAACGCATAGACGTAGAGCAGGCGTTTATATACTGTTATCGCCATCAGATTCTTATATATTTAACGCGCTTTCCAGTTGTACGACAGATGCCTTACTTACATCGAACTGGATTAATTTATGTATCGTTGTTATAACGGTTTAGCATTGCCCAGTTACGATAATGGGTGTAATAAAAGTAATGTCCATTTTTATAATGTAAAAGTTTTCACTATGAGGAAGAGGGAAGTACTTACATTTTAGGTATTTGTATTTTGTCGGCATCGTTTTGACGGCCAAAATCGTGCCAAGGACGACTTCTGCTGCCAGTTTGAGCACCAGATTGGGCAGTAGTAACGACGCCGCGTTGACTCATAGATAGGGGATCCAGCAGCGAAGGATTTGTTTGACATAGCTCCGTGTAGTCAAACGACTGCAATGACCAAGCGTTGTTTTGTTAATCCAATAATTTAAATGTTGTAAATGCGAGTGACACGCGTGAGTTATAGGCTATTAAGAAGTAAACAATGCTCGTTACATAGCACATTATATTATTCACTTAGCGTATATACTCGCATTTCATGCATATCGAGATCTGCGGGGATTAGTGCTCACCTGTTGCATCGTGTTCTGGTCGCGAGGTGTGATGGCATCTGCACCAATTCCACTATCCGGACTTGGTAAATCCACGGTAAGGCCGGCAGCGGTGGCGGCGGCAATAACTCCTTTATTGTGATACGCACTGGATTGCCGAACATATCGTTCGACGAAACTAGCTGTCGTTCCACCGCCAACCGCTTCCTCGCCATAATTTAACTGATTTTGGCGCAATTGACTCGTATAAATAGGCTCCGGAGTGCCAGCCCCGGAGGCAACGGTAGTAAAATACTCCCGATAATACGGATCGGTGACGGTAAACGCTCCTGAGCTAGACGCTCGCACTGTAGAACTCGTATAACCGCCGCTAATCGCGTTTTGGGTGTATTGGGTTACATGATCACTATAAGGGATAGGCGAAGGAGTTCCACTACCACTGTGAGTATTATTCATAGTCGCAAATATTTGAGTGCTGTACATTGCCGGCTTGAGGCCATCCGAAGATACAAACTCTATGGGACCGGTGTTAGAGCCATCGGCAAGTAAACTGCTATGTGAAGAAGTCGGTGTTCCATTTACTGAACGAGAAGCATGTTGCGGAGAGTTAAGACAACTTTCGTCTTTAATTGTGTTGACATCCACCACCAAATCCCCCGGCTGGCCGCTCACGGAAGATACCAGCACAACCTATAACCACCAAATGTTACAATACCTACATCAGTTTATAAAATTCAATGCTTCAGAATGCCCACGACTTTAATCATTATCATTCCAAAGCGCAAAATTATTTTAATTAATTTATCAATCAAAATCACTACTGGTACAACTATATACGCACTCCATCACTAAAGAAGCAACAGGCGAGCACGAGAGGGTTACACAAAAAAAAACACTAATCAATCACCTTGTGTCGCGGTTGTTTGCTAACGATTATCGATCCATCCAGACCTGGAGAACTCGCGTCCAATTTCCGGTGGTGGCTCAAGTCTTCCGGTTCGCGTTTCACTATGTGCAAACTTTGGCTACCGGAGGCCGTGGGCTGTGCATAACCAACGTGTTGGTTTATAAATAAACCTTGTATGTCTTGAGTACTTAGTTGATTTGCGGTGCTTAGAGGCGGGTTTGTCAGCTCTAAGCCAGCCCCACTCACTAGCCCATTGGCCGCCTTTAACTGCGATGTCAGGATTCCACCAGCCTGGGAACTCGTCCTGCAACAAACGTATTAATTACAACAATTGCACATCACCTTACGTGCACTTAGAATGTTTTTGGCCACACTGCGAGATTTGGGAGCCAGTGCTAGATACTTATGTGGGTGCATGTTTGAATAAAATATAATCCGGAATCACGTGTTTGAGTAATTGAACGTCGCGGCATTGTGAAGGTGACCCAGTCCGATCAGTTTTAAGAGCAAAACAAAAAGTTCACGCAAATCTAGTAACCTCGTCATCACTCATCTCTTCTTATTGTACGCGCGGACCCTTTTGGGTAATATCTTATACAAATTTAAACCTATTGTGTTCCTGACTGTTCTTATTCATACTAAGTCGGTACATCTCTTGAAACTGCGATGTCTATAAACTACACTCTTTCAAATAAGAAAGGGTTAAGAGGGGCTGAAATTTGATTCTCCCCGAAACTTTATATCAACGTTTTACTGTAATGTATTCAAATGCGCATCTCAACATTTATCTTTTGCAAAATTTATCCGTTCATTGTAATTTGCATGTCACCCCATATAGACATGGGTTTCATACACTTATACTCGAATTAATTATAAAGATCGTGTGAAAAATAAGGAGAAAATGAACGTTGTGTGTAAGAAAATCTTACTCCTACTAAGAAAATAAAGGAAACACATAAGAATTACCTGAAAGGATAACCGCTAAATAAATCTCACGTTTGGGGGTCCATCCTCATCGCGCGGATATAATTTGTAAATAGAAATGTAGAGGGTTCCAACCTGATACTATCGGTATCACGTTACTATGTAGATCTCAGATAGGCATTTTAATAAGTAGGATTAAAATTACATATGTAGCTCATATTGTATACCCAAACCCATGCATTTGCCTGAAGCGGTCACGGTAAAAAAACCAAGATTCTTTGGGAAATGCTACGGGAGCAAGGACTTACAATCAAGCATTACGCTCCTTTGAATAATTTTGATTTATTTAGCAGATAAACCACACGTAGAGAAACGTTTGACGTTTTGTTGCCGTTCGACTCATTAATTGTATTTTGTTTTGTTTCTAAAAACATGGAAGAGATCAGTCGCGCGAAAAAATTTAGTGCGGTAATCTTGAAAAGGCAGGAGCGGTTAATGACTTGCATTGGAAACTGGTGACCTCACACATCCACATAAATTACGAGTGCTTTTTCTCCGGAGGCATTATAAAAGAATAATCAATGAAATATGGTAATAATCTCGCAAATCTTGATTTACAAATAATGAGATATTTGCGCAAAATCCACAGTTTTCGTTCCGAATTTATCGCGAAATACTTCTTTTTCATGTCAATTCAACAGAGAGCGAGGTAAAAAAAAGCAAAAATAAATCGGCACAAATTATGCATGGAGCAGTCCCGGAGAGGGCTTGCGACGAGGACAGGCGCTATTCAGAATATTTTTTTACTTTAATCCTATTGTGTTGTGTAATATATAGTGCAATGAAGCAGACTGCTGCTATAAATATCTTTCCAGACATTTTTAATTTGAAAAGAAGCAAGGGAAAAACGCACATTCCGCAACGTTTAAAACATACTTCTAATGCACATAAATAATACGCATATATTTATAAATCTATTTTATGACACCGTTTCTGATGTGGGTGTCCGTAAAGGGAGAAAATCTAAACGTTGCACTTCACAGTTAATCAAAGTCAAGATCGTACAAAAGCAAGGAGCTTTACTAAAATGAATCATTTCAATCCGTATTTTCAAGCAAAGCATCAGAATGGAGAGTAGTAACTAGAGTATTAGGTAAAAGAAAAACAGATTAATTATTGAGTCCCTGTACAGAAAAACGCCGAATAAGGAATAACAGTTGACTGTGCTTAGGCATGTAACTGTGACATCAGCTTTTGGTCAGAATTTTTCAGTGTTTTTCACAGTAGATCCATATTTTTCACTTTATTTGCGCGTGGAAGTGAGTAAGTAATTGCTATTACTAGAGAAACCCAAAATGCAAGGAAAAATGATTTCATACGGTATGATCTGCTTATACTTTCATCATGTCGTTCATGCATTTCTCATCTACCAGCTGCAGGGCTTTAGTTTATGACTAAAATTTGGACTGGTTCCAAAAGACGAAGTATTTGCATTTTTGAATGAACTTCAGACTGCCGAACAGCCACTAAATTTAGTTCGCCAGATTTCACAAAGAAATTGAAGACTTATCATAAGCACCATTATCACAAACTCGAGAAAAAGTTCATGGATACCACAGGCAAGTCTTTTTCCCAAAGACGCTTGCGGGCAAAGACCCAGATGGAGGGCTTCGGATTTGCCCAATATTGTCATTATACCTAGGTACTTAAAGCTCCCCCGGAAAATTTGCCCCTGGAATGTAAAATTAGCTTCCGTCGGAATACTCCATCACCAGGAACTCGCTCCAAGAAAAAATTTGATGAAGCTTTTCCATGGCAACCCCATCTATAATTTATACTTTCATCCCAATTACCAAACAGTACCTATATAGTCTTCAACCCACAGAAACTATTTTTTGCCTCTCAGCTCGCATTCGGAAATCTGACTTCTAATGCGGCTCATATTCAATTCAATAGTGACATCGCAGTCTCGTTTCGTTCTCGAGTTAGACGAGGGACAGACGGATAAAACCATCACACAATTGGAATTTCTTTCTTTCGGAAAATTTTCCTAAAAAAACCGCGAGGAAAATTCCTCGAACGCCAGTTTTCCGGGGCGAATATACTGAGTGCATCCGGATCAGAGTTCACTTCGTACGGGTGCGGCATCAGATTTACATGGTTTCCGTAAAGGCTCAGCAATCAATAGGTACCCAATTCATCCGAAGCAAAACATGCCGGTACAACCCTTTGCAACTGAGATGGGCTCTGCGTTTACACGACAAACCCTAATTAACTATCTGACTCCCCTGCTGTTGCACAGTTAGCATCAGATCAACAGCCAAGAGGTCGGAAAAAAATTCAGAAACGGGATTTTGTGTGGGGATAGGGTCAGGGGTTAATCTCCCCCATTTTTATCCTTAATTAGCAATTAAACCTAATTTCCCCGAGTTTAGAACCTGTGCCCCAGCGGTCTTTGGTGGTCTACAAAACTGTATCATTTGTTAAAACAGGCCTTAATTAACACATAATTCCATTTTCAAAACTTTACGCTCAAGCGTCTTTAGTATCGCCTCCAAAACGTATGTTTCGGATTTGCACAGAATTATCTTAAAACATGTGGACCTACTTGAAATTAAGCACTAACACAATATAAACTCGACCGAGGGTTGTAACAGTCTGTGTCTTTGTGAAAAATATAATCGATTGTGCTTTTATGCTCACCGTTTGTGCAGTTGGTTTCGGAGATAATTGAAAAACATCCCCCCAACATGTAACTTCTTCATACTTAAACGGTGGTCTTACGTATAGTATTTCGATCGCTTTAAATTCCTCTTTTCTAACCCAAATATTTTGAAAAACACTCAAGTCAACACGCCATTTTTCACTTAGCCCTCATTTGATTTTTCCAAACATCTCCCAAACCAGGTTAAGCGTTTACTTAGTCCCCATTTGATTTTTACAAATATATTCGAAACTAAAAAGGCATAGACCGAGGCATAGACTGTGAGCATCATAAAAACACAATTAAGCATAATCAAAGTAGTATGTGATACCGTTGTTTCAGAATTAAAAAGTTCATTTGGGGGAAGAGTGGGGAGGGGGGGGGGTTAACGTTCACTTAGTCCCCATTTGTGTTTTCGGAATATTTCTGAAACCAAAAAGGCATACACCGTGAGCATACTGCACGATAGAGCACAATTGAGGCACAGTAGATACAAACAAGTTAAAAAAGTAATCGTAAACGATTTACAAAAAGCGCATTTCCCATTTGTATGATGAAACTTCTGTTAAAATCGTAAAAATACGGCCACAAATATGAAAGATGGCGTTGCATAGGTGCAATCCATTTTTGACGTGCTACTTCAATTTCAGTTTATGAGAAGAATTTCATTTCAATGCTTTTCTAAATAAGAAAGTTAGCACTGCGCATGCGCAAAACCAAATTTTGAAACTGGCATTAGATTTTCATTTATTCCAAGTGCCTATGTATCAAATTGCGTTTAAATGCTTCCATAAATAAAAAGGTTGGCACTGCGCATGGGCGAAACCAAATTTTGAAACTGGCGTTAGATTTTCATTTATTCAAAGTGAATACTTTTATAAATAAAAACGTTTGCAATTCGGTTTATAAATGGTAGGGGCACTGAATTTTGAATCGATTCGACTGGAATTGGCTGAAGCTGAACTTGAGGTTACTCGTGGGAATACTTTCTGGGCACTGCAAACAAAACAAACACATGCACCGCATGGGTTCGCACGGGTTTGATAGAATCACTTATCTTGTAGAGGAAGTTACACGGACGATGAAACGGCACACCACATACTTTGTTGAATGCCTCGCTCTAGTCCAACTCAGACGATCCATGTTAAGGGTGTCCTGACCGGACATGGCTACGATGATTAGAGCCGCCTCCCCTTCCAGCATCCTTAGGTTCATCTCACGTGTGGGATGGCTTGAGTGACGTTGAGGGGTCGAACGACTCTAGTCAGATAGGTAGTACAAAGGGCCCGAATTTGAGGCGTAGGTACGCGTAGACCCTGTCTACCTTCCTATCGTAATCCAGAATCAAGAATGGGCCACGAGAATCAAATCATCAAACATACATTCATTTTATTTCGTTCGTGGCCGTATAGACGTAGAGGAGAATCTACGGGTACCTCTAGAGCGCACAGTTCGTGAATACACAACGGGGAGGCTGAGAGTCAAGATGACCACCAACATTTGTGTGCAGGAGCTGTGGGGTACCGTAAGACTATTTTCAAAAGTTTGAACGGCACAATTCAGTAAGCATCGAGCACAAATGATTACCATTATTGCTTATTCCATATCTGTAAAAAACGTGGGGGCTAGGAGTCAAGTTGGCCCCCGAGATTTGAGTGCAGGAACTACCATGTAGCGGAAGACTATTTTCAAATATTTGACCGGCACAATCCAATATGCATCGAGCACAACTCGTTAAAGTAGCATTGGAATTTGCACGTTAAAAAAACCGGGGGGTCAAATGAGAGTCAAACCGTTGGAATATTTGAACCCCCGCAGATTGATTGAAACGTAAGTGAGGAGATTTAAACGCAGTAACTATCGTGTACCGTAAAACTATTGTCGAATATTTGAACGGCACAATCCAATATGCAGTGAGCACAACTCGTTAAAGTAGTAATGGAATTTGTAAGTTAAAAAAACCGGGGGGCTGGGCGTCAAATTGGCCCCCGCGTTTCAATTAAAAAAAATTGATTTTCCAGATCAGCACAAATTAAAATCGAATCAGCACAATTTAGCCCAACCCTAGCACTATATAAAAATCGTCATTACACATTTTTTTTTAATTGCGGGGGCTAACTTGATGGAGCTCGTCCCAACGAATGCCCGGACGGACGGACAATAGCGCATTTTTTTAAATTTTTGTGAAAATTAGCTAAAAATGGTTCAAGTAAACGAAATACGTTATCATCTTCCTAAAACGAATTTATTATCCGTTCGTATAAACAAATCACACGTTTAGGGTCCATAATTTTTGACAATTTTATTTGTTTATTGCCGCAATTGATTCCAATAGTTACTGTTAACGCAAACTTTCAAGAAAATATCCTCAACGCATCATAAGCTGAATTTCCGAGAAAATGTATTTTAGTTAATCCTTTAATCCATCCAGCTTTACCTTTCCTAAGAATTTTCTTGCTTTCAACAAAGACCCTGTCTTCCTTCCCAGTAACCTTTTAATTTCATTGTGAATATTTTCGACTATAACCCCTTTTTACCCTGTCACCCACACACACACAACTAACCACTTGGAGTAGGTACATGTTAAACTGTTAAAAGTTATATATTTTGTTTTATTTTAATTTGAGAGAAAGTGGAACTATAGCAGTAATGAATTGCTAGTTCGAGGGTGAATTTACAACTCGCCCGAAACAGTTACCACTTGCGGGAAGAAATGTCTTATTACATTAAGTAGTAGAAAAAAAATACTAGAAAAAAATGCTGGTCTACAGAGTGCATTCGTATAACTTAAATATCGATGAACAATGTAAATTTAGTGTAAATATCAAGATCGGATCCACGAATTTCAGGACATAAATCCACACCGTATATGGGGTGATAGCAATCTTGAGAGATTTGTTCTTTTTTAATTAAATGACTCAGAGAGGGATAAAATGTTCCGACGAAGTTTTTTTCGAATGGCAAATGCGAATGGAATTTGTTATTGTCTTTAGTACAATACGGACGGTTGAATGTTGTTAGATAGAAAACCCAACCCCTAAATGTTATTCCTTGTCGTTTTACTAATGAGGTCTCTTGTATTTAATATCACATAAATCAACTTACGACCAAATATCGCCGAGTTTATCCTTTGAATCCGCAGGAAGGGCAGGTAATTTATAATATTCGTAGATGAGCCCCATAGTGGTGGCTTGGTCTTCGGCGCCGCCACCGATGTTTAGCATAGCGGTGGTGGCTGCAGTCAGGGGGTGCTCGTAATTAGAAGTTCGCCAGGTTTGTTGGTCTTCTTGAGGGGCTCCCCCCTCGGGCAGCTCGGCCATACCCCGGGGAGCCGCCGCTGACAATTCACCCGCACCTCCTGTGTGAGTGCTGCCACTGGACTCCAAACTGTCCTTTCGTTTTCTACGACAAATGAAAAAGCAATATTTACTAACTGAATATATTTTTAGATAAATTAGTTACATCGAAGGACATTTTTTGGCAGCCTTTTGTGTCTAGCGGCGGCGTATCGAGGTATTGGCGATATCCAATTTAAAACGAGCCCCAATACTGACTGCGTAACTTACCCTTGTAACTGTGTTAATGAAAAAGGGATTCTCGTAAAATCCGGTATTAAATGGTAGTATTGAGTGGGCATTGATGAGAGATTAGGCTGAAATATCTTTATAGTAGTCAAACCCGTTTATTTTCATTCAAACCGTGTGTACCTATTATGCACTAAACTGAAGGCAGAAATACCGACAGCTTTGCGTGTAATTAAATACGTGCGATTTTCTGAGAGGCGTGAGCAAATTTTTAATGTAAATTATAAAAGTGGTACTCTCTTGATGGAGGTGACCAACAACATAATATGTTTACGTGTTTTGGTAAAAGATCACAAGCATTACCAACGAATCGATTAGGCAGTTATTAAAAGTTTAAGTGGAATGTTAATACCTTTAACAATTACAAATTCTCAAGGATATTAGTTATGCTATTATAAACAACTTAGAAAGTAAAATGTCACAGGGCGTTTTTCTTCCATTTGTGCATCGTTGGAAGAACGCACCGCGCGAGAATAGGAATTAATCAAAGCTCCGAAAATTACGCCCAGGTAGCTCAGCTTAAACGGGAAATTAATTGATGCCATCCGTTTTTTTGGTTTTTACTACCCATAAACAGAAGAGGTGAATATATCATAGTCGCAATGCCACAAAATGCGATGCAAAATTTACGAGTGGTGTGTATGTTTAACGTTATTTGGAACGGGAAGGGCACAATTTTTTATGACAGATACAGATGGAAGCTCATTAATAATAGCAATAGATCAGACGTTATAGACTAACGGTACTGTATTTGATTACCTTACCCAGATTTTGAAACATTAGATACAAACCTTCCCGTTCGCATTGCCACAAAGCGTCACACTAATTATATCACACTATCCCATTTAAATAAACTTATGGATAAATAATTAGATGTACAAGGTATAATGACGATTTATATCCGCAACTACGCCTTCATTAAAAAAATACCGCGATTGTTTAATAATGGATGGAGTTTTTTAAATAAATACTCCAATTGAAATCTTGGTATTTAAATCAATTAATTATTCTTTAGAATGTTACAAATACGCAACTGTATCATATAAGTGGGTAGGTGCGGCATTTTGCATAAACCAAATGTGATTTTTTCAAGACGTTTTATAACCTACCTACGTTTGATGATGACGGAATTATTAAAACTGACCAATCTATAGAAATCCAAGAAAATCAATGATCTTCTAATAAATGCCAATTAGTCCCGTGGGAGCAGTGGCAAACTGCCCTATCGTTTTGTTCAATACAACGGGTCATTTTTAATTTTGCGTATCAGTTGATAAATGGCACAATAATGTCTTAACGGTAAAACGAGTAATTGCAGTTTAAAACTTGACACAGCAGAGTTTTGATCAAAAGGGGCCACACCTGAACAATTATTCACAGACGATTGCAGTACTGATTCTATCAAGTTAAATTATAATTGAACAATTTTGTTGGCATCGGGACACGGGGGAACAATAAAGAAAAGTGAAAAACGGGCAACGATTACGAACGATCGAAGAATAGATTTCAATTAGCAAAATCAGTTTGTCTTTTCGACTAAAACCTACAAGAAAAGTTTCACACGATCCCCTGGTAATTTTATCGCACTCGCATCCTCGATGAAACTGCGTTTATATTTTTATTTACACAAGAATCAATGGTTTATTTTAACTTCGTTCGGTAATTGCGGTCGCTTGTTGCTTTATATTTATAGTGTTTATTGTTTTGATAAGGAGCTCATTCAAATGCGTAGGTAGACAGAAAGATAATTTTATGGAAAGATATCATCGATCTATCTTTTGGAAACCCAAGCCGACATCTACTTTGCTTATATTGCAGCTCAGTAGGTATCAAACCCATATTCAGGATGTGTACACGTACTTATTCTATTATGTTAGCGCATTGAATAAAAACTTAGGATTGCCGGACCTATCCAGGCAAAGTTCGAGGTTATTTCGTATTACGAATTATTATTTCATCCGGGTTTGCCAGATGAGTTTCAAAATTATTTTATGTAGGTATTTAAAATTAGAAATACAGGATTGTCCCCGTTGAAACTGACACATTTTAACCGTAAACAAATAAGATGAAAATTACGGTTTCAACGAGTGAGCTTCACATTTAAAAAAAATCCCCATCCCCTATTTAATTTTGTTTAGTTGAAAATACAGAATTTTTTCCGTCTCTCGCGGTTTTCTAAAGGATACTTGGAACATTGCCTAACCGACACCTGGCAAACCCAATATTGGCAATGCTGGAATTACCTAGGCAAACCTAAGTTTATAGCAATAAAACTGAATGTTTGTATGTTTCTTATGCCTACCGAACCGTTGACCCGATTACGATGAAATTTTGGAGAATGGTTGGGCGTATGGCCGCGAAGGTTTTCAATTTAGTAAAATTGCAACCGCTAAAACCGAGCTTATGTCCCATCCCGTTGACTGATAGGGGTTATGAAGTTCGCTGGGTCTACTAGTTTATAATATATACGAGGAAGAATATATCGAAAAAGTTTTGGAGAAAAATTGTACACAGTTACCGGCGCCATGCTTCCAAACTGTTTTTGATGATCGCCAGTGGCGTATCAAACTTTTTAATGGAACCCCATATTTTGTTGCAGTATTTTTTTATGTAACGTGTTATACTCTTAACTTTGGCGATTTCGCTGTTATAACCTTTCTTCGTCAAAATTTGACAGTATTTCGAATTTTTTTTAGATTATTTTTTTAATGAAGTACCTAAAAAATCATGTGACAGTGAAAGAGGTCGTCGTCGTCACCACGATTTATTTTCTTTAAAAGAATTTATATAACCACGAAATGGTCAAAGTTAAGGTGATAACATCAACATGTCCCATAAAAAATTTCCAAAAATATACGGGGTTTCGTTTAGACTTTAGATCGAACCCGATTAAAAGTTATTTAAAAATAAACTGAAAAGCATCGCTTTGCAAAAAAAGTTACAGCCCTTTGAATTTTCTTTCGAAATTGGTTTCTAGTCTATAACTTTTCATTGAGAAGTGATCGAAAAAGTACGAATTGATTTGGATTCTACGCACCAAAATTAATAAGAAAAAGTGTTTTCCCGAGAAATTTTGATGTAGTCGATTTTTGCTAAAGAAGGAAGGTTATACACTGCCCTTTTTTGATCCCCGAAAAAAAAATTGTCTCAGATCGATCCGGAAAAAAATTTTTCTTATAGAATGTGTCCTGTAGAATCCATAATTTCAAACAGTTCCAAGATTGGGCTACTAGTTCAAAAGTTACAGCCCTTTGAATTTTTTTTCGAAATTGGTTTCTTGTCTATAACTTTTGATTGAGAAGTCTGATCGAAAAAGTACGAATTGATTTGGATTCTACGCACCAAAATTAATAAGAAAAAGTGTTTTCCCGAGAAATTTTGGTGTAGTCGATCTTTGCTAAAAAAAGGAAGGTTATACACTGCCTTTTTTTGATCCCCGAAAAAAAATTGTCTCAGATTGACCCGGAAAAAAATTTTTCTTATAGAATGTGTCCTGTAGAATCCATAATTTCTAACAGTTCCAAGATTGGGCTACTAGTACAAAAGTTACAGCCCACTCCATGATTAAAAATGATAATGAAAAAAAGTTTGGATAAAACAAACTCAACTAAAAAATGACCCCCTCCCCTCCATTTTTTTTACGGTAATACACGTTTTGAATCACCAAGAATCCGACTCAAACAAAATCTCGTTGATGGTGATCTATCTGTCGATCTGTACTCTCATCAAATAATTTTCTGATTTCATAAATAATGGTACCTGTGCTTTTCTAATTAGGTACGTATAATAATAGCTCAGGTTTATTTACCAGTACATTACGTTATCGGTAATAGTTTTAACTGTAATGCGGGTGGTATATATGCTGGCCACAGCAAATTTTTAAAAATGGGTTCAATAATTGAATTTTACATGATTAAAGAGAATCACTAATTAACAAACTATTTTGTTTAATTTGAGTTTTTCTCTTAAATTTGATTGTGCTTTTTATGCTACTATATCCAAAAAGTGTACTCTTTAAGCATATGTAATGAAAAAAAACTAGTGGTTGCTATTTAAAAAAAAACTATACCCCTTCTAACCATTCAGAAGTACGCCACTCACCACAAACTAGACATTTTCACCCTGTATAAAACTATCAAAAAAGTAGAGAGTAGAGACTGGTGGGCGAAGTGAGTTTGATGCGTAGGTATATCGCACATTCTCTATGGGGAAGCACTTTTTGATGGTGAAAACATTTTCCCCACTAAATTGATGCCCAAATAGGAACTCTTCGCAAAAACCCCTGCGTCGTACACGCCAGGTACCCACGTGTAATAGATCGTACTCATAAAGACTACTAACTAATTATAGCAAGTCGGAAGAGGAAGCGTGTGCATAAACTGATCAACCAAGCAATACATAAAGTGACCATTTGCTTAGGACGATGCTTTTACAGGCCATAATTTTACTCTAATTAACGACCTCGTTAACGACGAGATTGCCAATACAAAAAAATTGTTTTTTATCAGCCTTCCATCACCTAAACTCTCGATTTCGCAGTGATTTAATTAGTGGGTATGCTCAATCTTCATTAACACGTCCAGATGGAATGAATTCATTATAAAATTTCCTTTGTAACAGCCAACTTGCTTACCATTCAAAATTCGTTCACTCACGACACCAAAATCTTATTTGATTTATTAACGAACTCCTAAGCGAGTTCATGATCTTGGATTCTGTTCCGTCCGTCTGTGTACATGAAACTCTATTGTCTTTAATGAAGTATGGCAGCGCGCGACGCTTAGCAAGAGTCGAGCATGAGGTACCACTTAGTTGTGA